TGCCAGGAAAATATCAAAATATTTGGGGGGGGTGGGATGTGGATCCCCTTTTCATTTTATCCACTTGAAACCCTGCCCTAATACTGAACGGTTAGAACAAAGGTTCTCAACCTATGGATGTGACCCCTTTGTGGGGATGTCAAATGACTCTCACAGGGGCCTCATATCAGATATTCTGGTATACAGATATTCTGTATATATATATACCAGAATATCTGATATATTAACATTGCGATTCATGGCAGTAGCAAAGCTACAGTTATTAAGGAGCAACAAAATAATTTCATGGTATGGGTCGCCACACTATGAGGAACCATATTAAAGGGTCACAGCACTAGGAAGGTTGAGAAGCACTGCGTCAGAAGCTTCAGGTGCCAGGCTTTCCAGTGCTGTCGTTTAGAAAAATTGGAAAGATTCTTGCTAAGTCACCAGCAGGAAAATGAGATGGGCTCATACTTTCCCTTCAAATTTAATAGTTATAGTATCTTATTGACAGAAGAAAACATGTCAAGTGGAAAAGTACTGAGGTGTGCAGTGTTTGGAGTCCATTTATAAAATGAAGAGCTTCTGGCCACAGTTCTGTCATTCCGAAGTGTAAACACAAAGCAAATCCATCAGCCTTCAATAAGAAGCTTGTCAGATGCAAGCTAATAAGCGTCTTTGACCTCAGATAAATCCTGTAGGAATTGTGCTGAATGGAAAAGCATGCATAGAAAAAGCACGTGTTTTTTCCCTGCCTTTGGGAGGACGGCTGCCTACATGAATCTGTAATCGTTGCTTCTGACAGATTTCATTTTATAAACCTAACGCCAGAATGTTCGGATTGCAGACACAGATGGGTCCCTCACCCTGTGAGTCCCCATCACCGGCACAACCTGCCTTTAGCTTGGGAGTTCTAGTCTCCTCTTGGGAAGCAGGCAACTTTTTTTCAGTTACAATTTGAAAAGTGCAGCTATGGGATTTATCTCCTCTGACCTTCAAGAGAGACAGGCACGTTCCTAACTGGGCCCTCCAGTGTCAACACACGGACATCGCCCCACTGTCAGCCATGTGGCTAACATGTCACTGGGTCCTGCTTTCAAAACCTGGGCCGCTCCTTCAACAGACTAGCTCTTAGGAAACTTCAGGCCTCTGTCCTTGTCATTTTGTTTGCAAAACTACAATTTTGTGGCGAGGTTAAAACTCACTTTGGAATGAAAGATGCTGTTGAATAAGTGTTACATTCTGTTTTTGTTTTAATCTAATGAGGGAAAAAAATTTCCTTTGTGAAAAGAATGGTAAAGAGAAAGTCAAAGATACAGCCTAGGATAGAAAATTAGGGTATTTTTTTTTATATTTCTGCAGTGAGTTTGACATTTGTGATAATTCGAAATAGCTGAGATACGAAGTAATTATCTAGAAATCAACTGTGTGTATGCATATGAAAGTATGTACATGTGTTTATGAGTATGTTTGTGTGTGTATGTAAATTTATTTTTTTGATGTTTTGTTGTTGCTTAGAATTTCTGGAATTAGAATCTAATGCTCATAAAAGTTTAGTCTTGAGACTTCCTATTTGTTCACTAATAGAAATTGAAGATGAATGAACAGTATTGCCATCTTATTGGATAGGCCCTTTTCATTATACTTTGGTTATTCGGTGTTGAGACAGTCTACATGGGCCAGGCTGACCTCAAGATACTCTTCCCCCAGCCTCTGGAATGCTGGGACAGGTGTGTGCCCCACACCTGCTTTTATTCCAGCATTTATAGGTGTGCGTTTACTCATCTGTGCCTTTGTCATAGACCCCCTGAGTCTAAGAAAGTATTGAAAAACAGATTTAAAAGTCTAATTTGGACCATCAGGATGACTCAGTAGGTAAAGGCGCCTGCCTTAAGCCTAGTGACCTGAGTTGGGTCCCCAGAACCCACATGCTAGAAGGAGAAAACGCCTGCAAGCTGACCTCTGACCTCCATATGCTCATGCACACTACCCTTCCCCAACACACTAAATAAATAAATAAATAAATAAATAAATAAATACAAAGTCTAACTTGAACCTGGATATTTCTTCATTGGTTCTCAGCATTCTTGGCCATACTCGTGTAAGGAACACACATGTGCTGACTTTAAAATGTGTTGTGACAGGCTGATGACTTTTACTCACAAATCTTGTTCAAACAGATATTGCAGAGAGCACACAACTAGTGTTTGGAGGCACTTGTAAGTCTTTCCAGAGGATAATATCTACGGTGGATACTGGCACTTGTAACATTCAGTTGAGGAATGTTCCAAGCATGTGGGATTGCTACCCTGGGCTCAGGGGCTGTAGTACTGTTAGGGTTCAAGAGTCACTTAGAAAGACCCCAGACTCAAGTAGTATGCAAAAGCAAGGAGCATTTATTCTGCAGAAAATTTCCAGCATGCAGGGGCCGCCATTCCATAGAATGGGGACCACAAAGTGGGCACACAGGCTCAATTTAAAGGCAATTAGGGGATTTCCAGAAAGAGTGAGGTAACCTTTCATTTGTTAGTAGTGACTCAGGAGGGTTAGGGTATTTAGGATTGGCTAAACATTGAGGAACTTTCCAGAGTTGCTAAGGGCTTTTCCTCAGGGCTGAATCATAATACTTAGCCCAAGCCCATGTGTTAGCCTTTAAGCTAATTGGCTGCCTTTGAGCTGCAGTTTTTCCAGAAACTGTTCTTCTATGTTCTGAAAAACAGAAACTCGAGCCAAGTTAGGCAAAGTTGAAAATGAAGCCTGTCATGGAGTCAGATTAGCCAAACAGAGTGGGGCCTTCTGGGGGTCTCTCAGGGGCTTTGGAGTTGTTAGACCTCTCAGTACATGCAGCACCATCCTTGTATAATGGCAGCCATTCTGCTGGCATGACTGCAGGGCCTTCCCAAACCCTTCCCATTACTCCTTCCTCAGAGGTAGCTGCTTGCTGGGCTCACCTCCTGCCTTTTATGGTAATTAAGCTCCTGCAGAGATGCTCACAGAGATCCATGTGGCAGGACTGATCAGTTTGTGAGAGCAAGATTAAGAAACAGAGAACAGGTATTTGTGACTTCAAAAGTTGAGCAGACATACCTGTTCCAGGGTTAAAAGTGCATTTGGCAGTTACTTCTTGAGACATAAGCTGAAGTCAGGTAATTAAATAAATTATATGTATGATGTTAGTCATATGACCCTCTATAGCTGTAACGTACTATCAAAGGAAATGTGAGTGTCAAAAACTGCAAGTACATGTGAAATAAAAATACTGTTCTTTAAAGAAGGCTTTGAAGGAGTCTATTGGCATTTCAGTACTGCAGCATGTTATTCTTAATTCTGCTTGGTAGTCCTATAGTCAAAGGAGAAAATTGAATATTTAGCAGAGCAAAGAAGGCAAAAAAAAAAAAAAAAAAAAGCGAAACAGCTCTCAGGGGATCTGGTGCTGTAGTAGCAGAATGTGGTGCAGTTCTCAAGCGCAGTTTCAAGAGCATACATGCTGTTCTTAGACAGTCAAAGAGCAGACATTGTCCTTTGTCCCTATGCCCATGCCTGACACTGACTACAGGACTGAACTCCTTCATTGGTAAGGCATACATCTGAAGAATACTGTTAATTTAACCCAGCATAAACCTTTATGTTACTTACCTGGAAAAAGATTCGCTAGCTTTGCTCTTGCCTATTAAAGATGTTTCGAATGAGTGTCACGACAAATCTCAGAGCAAGACAGAGGAAGAACTGTCTAGAGTTAGAACTCCAGCGCCTGCTGAACTGTCTCTCTTGCTTTTTCTTCAAGTCTAGTTTCTTTTGTAATTAGCTTTTCCAAAGTTTTGCTGAGCTCCGAGGAAAGCATCAAGAGCAAGTAAAAACAGGAAGTAATTGTTTATAGCTTGGAGGGAGCATGTTGCAGTTTGTTGAGATTGGAACAAGGATGATGTCGTCTGACCTGTTTAGGTCAGACCTGGGTCACAATTAACTGGTACTGCATCCCAGAGATGCCGGGGGTAGGTCCTCACTGGGAAGCAAGGGCTGACCTCGATGAAGCTGACCGTGTCCTTCTTGTTAGCACATACCCACTGATGCGGAGACCCCAAGCCATAGCGTTCTACTTTCTCAAACAGGGCCCAAGCATATTCTCACCTCGGAAAATCCGCCAGCATTGCGTGGCTTGTTTCTTAGTAAAGAGCCTGTGTCTGTTTACAGAGCTCTGCCTCCCCCAGACCTTGACCGTAGCGGGGCTTTCGTAAAGATGTGGGGAGGCTGCGTAATGTATACGATATTTGCTGCTTCGGAGAGGTGGGGATATAATCTGTGTTTTAAAACCACAAGGCCTCAACTCTGCACAGAGAGCTGCAGACCACTGAGGAAGGGAGAGAGGAGGAGGAATAGTCTTCCCCAGGAAGAGCACAGCAATTGTTTGTCCAACAGCAAATAGCCCTGAAAACGCACATATGAGTAACATTGTACAGACTGAGCAGATTGTGTTTAGGAATCTATATGTATAGACTGCTCACATACGGGTATAACAACAACTAATGGAAAAATGTCATGAATTTTAAAGAGAGCAGCGAGGTGCCTATGGGAGGGCTGGAAGAGAGAAAAGGGAAGGGAGAAATTATGTAATCATAAAAATAAAAGAAATAATTTTAAAACTAGTTTTTTTTTTCTTCTCCATGTCTCGGATACTCATTAAAAGAAGTTAAAGTGCCTTGAATTTGGTGACTCATACCAGTCATCGGTAATTTTTTAAATCATGTGTAATTGTTTTTCTGAAAGGTATTTATATACCCAGTAACAGCCTGGATCTACCATGGCTAGCACCTAAGCTATAGAGCCGGAGTCCAACTTCTTTTATTTTGAGACAGGGTCTTGCAATATGGCCCAGCCCAGCTTTGAACTTGTAAGCTTCCTTCCTCAGACTTCCCCAGGCTGGGATCACCAGCGTCTGTTAGCACACCCAGCAATCGCTCTGTTTAGAAACTCCTTGAAGATTTTGACTCTTCTTTCAAATATGTTCTCGCCCCTCTTAGGTTATTCCGATGTTGCAGGAATTCATAATCAAGAAGTTGGGGCGCCCTTTCATTGAACCGCCCCCCTTTGATCTGTCCAAGGCGTTTGCGGATAGTAACTGTTGCGCGCCGCTGATCTTCGTGCTGTCTCCTGGAGCAGATCCCATGGCTGCTCTCCTGAAATTCGCTGATGACCAGGTACCTCACAGTGACAAAGCTATCTGACACTGTCCCCTTCCTTTACAGAAATTAATGTTTGCTCTAACGAAAGTCTTAAAGGATACGAGAGAGCTAAAAATTGTCACTCAACTATAGGAAGGGCTTAGGATTCTGAAACTTGACAAAGTTCCAAGAAAATGACACTTTATGGCAGTACTTACATTAAAAGTGTCTCCTTACACCACTTGTGAAACTAAAATCGGGGTCTCTGGTTGTGGTGGCACATGCAATTAGGATTTCCTCAAGGAGGCAGAGGCAGGAGGGTCGTGAGTCTGACACTAGGCTGGACTAAAATTGGGGGTTGAGGAGCATTTTCTTTGCTTGGCTCCACAGCCTTTATGGCGGTACGTGAGCTTGGTTGATTTACATTCAAGTCCAGCAAGTCTCGGGTGAACCTCTGGTCCTTCCCCTCTTCCTTGTCTCTAAAGGGGGCCAGCCCCCTTTCACTCTCAGAGCAGCTATGCATTATAGCCTCGTTGCCAGTACAGTGTGCTCAATTATCTATACTTGTAAGAGATTTTAAACCATATCCAAATTAATTTGCTGTAAGTGTTCTAATGCCACATTGTCTAAACAAGAAGTAGTAAACAGGAGACTGAAAGTTCTGAGTTGATTTTCTGCATTTTGGTTTAATCCGAATAACTTGTGTGGTAACACGTGTGCAGTTTCTAAAACCAACAGGGAGGATTGCAAGGAGGTCATGGCCTACACTGGACTTTGGTGGGCAGAGGTCATGACCGATATCACTTTGGTGATAGATGTTACTCATGTTTTCTCTCTGAAACTGTATAGAAGACTTTGAAGCAAACGGTGGCATCTCCATTCCATAGTGAGGGATACCAAAGCACAGAAGGAATAGCCTGTGGAAAGCCACGTGACCTTAAGGTTAAAGTAGTCTCTGTTGAGTCACTTCATACTTGAACAGCCTGGATTTTGTATTAGTGTTATGACTGTCTGATAAAGCACTCACTACTTGTTTGAGAAGTGTTGAGATTTGGAGGTCATGGTAAAAGATGGGGTGCTTTAAGTGTCAAGGTAGCGTGGCCATTCATTCCCAAGGCCATCCCAGTTGGACTGTGGAGTCTTGCAAAATGGAAGCGGGCCCACTAGTTGGGACAGAGATCTTGAAAGTCAGATAAGAAAGAGTGGCAGAAGTACTGGTGGTCGCTCTAAGAGTCCGTCATTCATAGGGCCTGTCTGAACAAATCAACACTGCCTCCGCCTCCTTTTGAACTGTTTCCTCTGTGTGACTCTTCTGTGTTGGGCAATGTTGTCATTCCCTGGCCCCGTGCCTGTCAAGCTTCTGCCCTGTCTCTGGTTGCCACCTCTACTTTTTTTTTTCCCAAAGTGTTTTCCCTCCACAGAGGTAGTTCCCATGCACAATGAGCAGTTGGAGAGGGCCCCAGATCCATTCTTCCCCTGTTCCTGTCATTGGAGACCTCTTCCAGGAAGTCTGGGGACAACTACCCTCAAAATGAGGAGATCCAAAAGCCACAGTTGAGCATGGGAAACATTCCCACAGAATTTCTTAAGGAAGGTGTTGACTGGGAGTCAGCGGTTAATGGTTTGAGTCTCCCAATTTTATCAGTATCGAAAGTAACTGACACACTCACTCCAGGGGAACAGGATAAGTACATCTTCCACTTCATATTTTCCTTCTTAGCTTTTTTTAGGGGTTGCTATATGACAGCTCTGCTCTTTAATCTACTTCTTTATTAAGAGTCCTCTTAGTGTTTTTATTTTCTATATCTTATATCAACAGCCAATAGCCCCACAGAATTTTCTTTTTATTACCATGATCATTCCTACATATTTTCATTTAAGTGTTGAATAGAGCATGTGCAGGTTATGTCTGTTTGAATCAAAGAATGATGCTTAGTGATACCTTTCTTATTCTTGTACACAGGGCTATGGGGGCTCAAAACTTAGCTCTCTATCTCTTGGCCAAGGCCAAGGGCCCATTGCTATGAAGATGTTAGAAAAAGCTGTCAAGGATGGAACATGGGTCGTTCTTCAAAATTGTCACCTTGCCACCTCTTGGATGCCAACTCTTGAGAAAGTTTGTGAGGTAAAAATGCAGATAGACATTTATTAGCGTGTACCTCCGCAGTCTCACTTTTGATACACATACCAAGGGCCTCATTTCTCGCATTGACAGGCTGCAGGTTATCCTTGTAGCTGGGTCACAGGAAAAATGGGTTCACACTGAGAATTGTACCTGAGATAATAGAGGAATAGAGACCCCCTTACCAGAAGGCAGTTCCCATCCAGTGTGTCAGGGGATTCTTGGCCCAGAGGAGCAGGAGTAATGATGAGAGAAACCCCAGTTTTACAGCAGTTATCCCTAGGCCTTAACGTCACAGTGCTACTGGAGGGCTCCTTGACCTCCGGTGTTCAGACCTGACAGCGCTAGCAGTGATAAACACTGACGCTTCAGGTACATCTGCTCTTGCCCTTTAGAGTACCCTTCTCTCTCAAACAAAGGAATCCAGTTTGGTGTAATGTAATTTGGGAGTAAGTGAGTGCATCACTTACTCCCAAATCTGGCTGCAGCAAGAGGAGGGTTTAGTCTTAATTTAGCCCTGGGATGAAGAATTGTTTTTGTAAATATTTCAGAAATGTTAGTGCATACATGAACATGTTAAGAAACCTTTAGTTTTTGAGCCAGGTCTGAACCACACAGCACCTCCATAAGCTGTATAGTCATGTAACTTAATTTTAAAGGAGACCGGCAACGCTCTGGGCCTTCTCAGTGAAGTGTGGTGATTCAGGTAGAAATGAATTTTGAGCTTTTGCTTATATTGCAACAATCCTATGTCTATATTATAGATGCTTCCTTCTTTTATCAGACTGTCCCTTACATGCACTGAGATGATTTCTCCAGTCTTATTCACACTTCTGTTTCTGATTTGTTTTCTCGCAGGAGTTAAGCGCAGAAACAACACACCCGGATTTCCGAATCTGGCTAACTAGTTACCCTTCTCCAAACTTCCCTGTGTCCGTGCTGCAGAACGGAGTGAAAATGACTAACGAAGCACCGAAAGGATTACGGGCTAATATCATCCGATCATACCTCATGGACCCGATCTCTGACCCCGAATTCTTTAACAGCTGCAGAAAGCCTGTTAGTGATGGCTAAGTCCTGTCACCCCAGCCCTGTAAAGCAATTCAAGAGGCCCCCGGTGATTGGGGGATGTGTACACAGAGTAAAACTACAAACTAAATAGGTCTCCTGCTTGGCAGCACAGTTGGTTTTGATTACTGATTATTGACTGTGCTGAAGTCAATGTTATTAATATTTTATTTTCATTTTACCACTAGCCCCACTCCTCCTCAGCTGAGATATTACAGAGTATCATTAATAATGTAGGCTTCTGTGGAGAAAGTCAGCTGTAAGCTATTCCCAGCCCAAATCTGCAAGGCTGGAGTACTTGTTCCAGGATATGAACTGAGCCCTTTACTATCTGGAACCATCTCTCTAAATTAAAACATAAAAACATTTCCTCCACATAATCATAATGAGAGCCAGAATGCTTTTCCTTCTCGATTGATGGGACTCATAAGGGTCTTTTCTGAAGCCACCAGGCAGGCCGGGAAAACACCCACTGTTTTTATGATTAGGATTCTGTCTGAGTGTCTGTGACCTAAAATTGTTTCATAGTGTTTTGCTGTAATTAGAAATGGAAGGACTCTTTTATATGAGGTTATGAACCTTGATAAGTTTTGCCATTCAAAAGCTCACTGTCTTGATGTCTGAACAGTATTTAAGTCACATCAAAGGAAAGCACTAACACTAAAGTATGTTCATTATGCAAAGTTTGGACACACACAGAAAGAGAGAGAGAGGACAGAGAGAGAGGAGAGAAAGAGGAGGGGAAAACAGAAAGAAATAAATTCACAAATATCTATTTAAAATGGAGTCAACCTTGCCCTGAACCTCCAAGACCTGTGTATGACTCTCTTTTGCACTGACAAGGCTTGGAGAAAGCTGCTGACTCCCATACAGGTAGTGAGGACATCTCCATATGATAAGCTGGACAGAGCCCCTTTTGCAAGTGTAATGTAACCTTCTCCTTTTCCTACATTAAAGCTTCTGCCCTGTAGTAATCACATTTTATAGGTAGAGGCGTTAATGAAACAGCTCCAACCCAAGATAAAATCTCATTAAATCCCATAACACCTTACATTTTTACATTTTAAATTTTTATTTGGAAATGATTTTATATTTACAAGAAAACTATAAATATAAAGTAGTATAAGGAACAACCTCTATTGTCCTTTTCCATATTTACCTGCTGTTAATATTTTACACTATTTGATCTGTTGTTTTGTGTTTCCTCTCTATGTATCCAAATACATTAGTATCTATGCATACATACATTTCCTCTTTGTGTCTCTATTTCTCTGTCTCTCTCTGCATCTCTCTGTCTCTCTCTATGTGTGTAAGAGACTCCTTGTGTGTGCACACTCAGTGAACCCTTGGCATCCATGGAGGATTATTTATAGTCTAGAACTTTTCTCAGATACTCAAGCACATAGATGTTTCAGCTTCATATAAAATGGTATGACATTTGCCTATAACTTAGACATATCCTCCTATGTACTAGCTTAAATAATTTTAAGTAACTTATAATATATAATAGAATGTGAATGGTACATAAGTATTTGTCAGTTTTCTTGTGTGGGGAATAAGAAAACTACATATTCAACACCAGCACAATCAAAAACATTTTAATCTGAGGCTGCTTAAACTAATGAATGCAGAACGTGTATATGTGTGTCTATGTATGTACACACACATACACACACATTGAAGGTAAGCTAGACATATCATGACCTCTTATTCTTAAATACTTTTAGGAAGGTCTAGCATTTTGACATCGAGACCGTGTTGACACCTACAGAGTTCACACCTGCAAGCCGTGTAGTCAAATTCCCAAAAGCTCTCCGACTGTCTAAAGTTTTGTGTCACGTTTAGAGGTATCCTGGGGTGCCTGTGGCCTGCAGGTCCCAAGTTGGACACTTATGTATGTTTCCGGAATAGGGAGCCCAGTATCGTTGGTCACTCTGTCCTGTGTTTCTGTGTGGTCAGCAGCATCGCTCCCATGTGTGTAAGAGCACTGGGGTACGGTTCAGAGTCATGTTCACCTGTAACTGTGTTCCCTCCCTTATGCTGTTTCCGCTTCGTTCCTGTGGTGCTGGGGGTCAGGCCCAGGCCTGTGCGTGCTTGGCAAGCACTGCACCTCTGAGCTGGCTCCCCGGACTCTACACCCTTTAACCCGAAGCATTTCCTCAGCCCTTCTTGCCTTACATCACGGGCATTTCTGAAGAAGGCATTTCATGATAGTGTTTGAACATGGAATTTACACAGTCAGAATCTGTGGGACTTTTTTCTTTTCTTTCTTATTTTCTTTCTTTCTTTTTTTTTTTTTTTTTTTTTTTTTTTTTGGTGTTTTGAGACAAGGTCTCTCTGTGTAGCCTTGACTGTCCTGGACTCGCTGTGTAGAACAGGCTGGTCTCAGACTCACAGTGATCTACCTGACTCTGCCTCCCCAAGGGCAGAGATTATAGGTGTTCCCCACTGTGCCCAGCTTGTGTGATATTTTCTGATGATTAGATTCAGCTTTTTAAATCTTAGCCAAATTATTAAGTAGGTGATGTGTCCTCAGCGGATGAAACTAATTTTTATCTTCTAAAAAGGCGTTGATTAGTTCCTCCTCAGTCTACTGACTGGTTTTCTTCTGTCGTTGTTAGGGTGTGCCACCCTCCCTCCATACTTAGCATCTTTGAGTATCTTTCACCCGTAAGTGCTTTTTCCACAGCTGCAGCCCTCAGAACTTTTGACACTTGGCACTCACTCCTCACAAGCAGTGGCCCTTCTTCCCATGTGTTTACCCAGTGTTGGCATGGACATAGGTATTGTTAATTTCCCCCAATGCTTTGCAATGAATTAATCGTGAATTTTATACTCAAATTGTTCCAGTTTTGTCAATGGGATCGCCATTAAACTGGTTGTGTATGTATATCAGCTTTAGGAGTTCTGTGCTGTTAGCAGCTCACGCTTCCTAATGCAAGATGTCCAGGCTCATCTCGATCTATCGTGAGTATGTCACGGAGCCAGCCATTTTTCTGAAGAGCTCTGCTTCTTTTGAGTGTTGGATAGTATTGGAAACCACAATGAATATTAAACGAGTTCCTTGACACTTAAATATAGACACATAGCCATGCATAGTGACATATACCTTTAATCCCAGCACTGTGTAGGCAAAGGCAGGCAGATCTAGAGTTATATGGAGAGACTCCTGTCTAAAAAGAAAAACAAAAACGAAAGAAAGAAAATAGACATACAAATATAGAGATACACATTTATCTCACACACACCCTTCAGAAGTGATGAATACATATCAGTATTTTCAGTTTCACTGCATCTTCCTGCATTCTTGTCTTTATTCATTTCACGTTGTTTGTCTTTTCTTTTACATTGAGACATCTGGCTTCTAACAATTGTTAATTGACTTGATCAATGATTCAATACGTATAAAATAATTCAGCGTTATGCTAGCATGTTTACTCAATTTCTTTAAATTTATGCTACCTCTTTTTTTTTTGTCAAACATGTTCCTTTAATTCTCTTTCACTCTTCTTGTTTTCCATTCTCTTTTTCAAGTTTATTCTATGAGAGAAACATTATCTTGTGGGATAAAACTGAGGCCTCCATGGGATTTTTCTGATTTTTGCTAAATAAAAAAAAATATAGTTTCTTTCAGTTGCAAGGATATGGTACAATATGTTAATTACTACACTGTTATTAAAAATGTAGGCTTTGGGTTCTCCAAGCTCTAACCCAGTGGCCCTGGTTAGCAGGTGGCAGCCTCCTTTTCATAATCCCTGGCACAGCTGGCAGCCTTTAGTTACTTCAGAGTGGTTCTGACACAGGAAGGGACAAATGTTCCCAACCTCAGCTGGGAACTTTTTGGTCTAGGCATGGGTGTAAGGCAACACTCTCCATCTTCCCCGCCCGTTTCACTTTTGATGCAGTCTGTTTCTGGCTCTCCAGCAAAGTTTCCTCAGACAGTTCTTACTGTGAGGTTTCCTCACGACACGGTACAAGCTGTCTTCCCCAGCTTCCCCCACTCCTCGGTATTCCCACCAAGTTGGCCCACTGCCTGTCTGTGCGGTTGCCGTTTCCCTCTGGATCTTCTACCCCGTAGCAGCGGATTGTTTTCTTTTCTCTTCTGAGTTTTACATTTCCCACAGTCCCCAGGTCAGGTGAGCGTGAACTCTGACAGTCCACTGATTTCTTCCTAGCCAGGATGACCGTCTCCCCTTCATGCCCTTCACTAGGGCGGATGAGAGCAAGCTGACTACCATCAAAGAAGTTACTTTGTGGAAATGGCTCCACAACTCTGCCTCAAGCTCTGTTGTTGGCATTTTTAGGTTTTAGAATTACCAGTTTAGGTCAAATTATCTCCTTTGAAATTTCTCCACAATGGTCTAAGATTAGACATAGAATTCATAATTCTTGTGTTTCTCCAGTTGGGAGCCCCCCTCACCCCCCCCCCCAAAAAAAAACCTACTGTAAAATTCAAATTAGATGAACTTGCTCTGTTTTCTGGAAACCTAGTACACATAGCCATGTGTGCTGCATGGGTTTGAGTACGAACGGGCACATTTTTGCCTGAAGCGCCCGTAGAAATACACTTGTTTTAGTTATTTTGGTGATGAAAAGAATCCCATACCATTTATAAAAGCTATATTAATTTAAAAACATTGCAAGCAATGTTCACAGGAAAAAAATGTCATTGGACAATTTCTTCTCGTTACAGGTGGAATTCAAGAAACTGCTTTATGGCCTCTGTTTCTTTCATGCTTTGGTACAGGAGAGGCGGAAATTCGGACCCCTGGGGTGGAATATTCCTTATGAATTCAATGAGACAGATCTGAGGATCAGCGTGCAACAGCTCCACATGTTCCTGAACCAGTATGAGGTACCGTAAACAGCACAGCAAGGATATTATCTCTTTACTCTTTATCATGTCGTAAGTGTTGGTGCAGGGACTTCTGATTAAATCTGCTCTTATAAAATAAATTGCAAGGCAGCTCCCAACAGCCTATTAAGTAGTACTTTATTATAACAGGAAATTGTAACTGCTTTAGGAGGTAGTTAGGATGTCAGTTTGTCTCAAAGGAGCCTCTGTTTTATCTTTTATTTTTGACACATAGCCACCTGTGGGGATTTGAGAAGGAATGATGTTGTATTTATTATGAAAAGACTGTAAACCAGCTAGGCTTAGAAATGGGGTGGGGCAGGAGGATCAGTATTCTTCTTTTCTGAAGCACAGATTCACTTCTTGCGAAATTAAGTTTTTGTTCTTGAGTCTCGACTCTTTGTCTAGAAATAAACTACTTAAAACTCTCTAAAAGGAGGAGGCCTCTCTGGAAGGAGGCCAGAGAGCCTAATGTCACATCAGATGCCCTTCACACTTCACAATTTTGATTCTCTCTGGGGCTTTTGTTACTGTTTTGTTTCCATTTTGAGCTAGAGTTTCAATGTGTAGCCCTGGCTGGCTGGAACTCACAGAAATTCTCCTGCCTCAGCTCACCAAGTACTGGGATTTAAGGCATGCATCAGCACATCAATGCTTTCTTTTTTCTTTTCCTTTTCTTTTCCCCTTGAAGTACCATTTGATTTCCTTTCCCAGGCTGGACTTGAACTCACTCTGTAGGCCAGGCAGGCCTTGAACTTGAGATGCTCCCACCTCAACACCTTGAGTACTTTTCACAGTACTCTTTCTTCCTTTCTCCCCTCCTTCCTTCTCTCCCTCCCCAGCCTTTCCCCTCTTCCAGTCACTTTCCCATTTTCTCCTTCTTGCTTTCTCCCTCTCTCAGGAACATCAAACACTGAGCATGATGGGAAGTACCCCTTGTCAACTGGGTTTTAATAAGTTTGAAACTGTGAAAGTTGTTCTGTAAATCACTGCAAGCGCCTGTAAGAACAGAGAGCTCCAGCCTCCCTTCATCTCCCTCCCTAAAGCAAGAATCATACTCAAGTTCAGTTGGATAGCTTTAATTAAATCTATCACTGGAATATAAAAAAAATTCAGACTTTTAATTTGCACATGGGGAGGATTGAATTCTATTCCAATAAAAGCAAAGAAGAAATTAAGTAAATAAAGATGGAGGGCTCAAGTGGCAGAAACACTCAAGTGCAGCATAAACGGGATGAATTGTTTTCCTACAGTAACACCTACAAAACGAAAGAGCAGAACTAGTAATAGAGACAAAATACCGTGCCAGAGGGGGATGTATCCGAGCTAAAATAATTATACAAAACCAGTGCAGAACATTTTTAGTTAGCAATTTGAATATCTGGAGAATATATTCTACCTTAAAATATAGTCTGTAGTGAGGAGTTAATTAAAATATGTAAGTATGCAAGTTTGGTTTATCACTTAAAAAATCAAATCCATGGAATCAACACAAACAAAGAGAATTTGAAATACAAGGCCCCATCAGTAGGTACAGAAAAAAAAAAATCATTTGACATCCCATATCTATTAGTGATAAAAACACTCTCGGTAAACTAGGCCTAGAGAAGAACCTGTTCAACACAGAAAGGAGTATTTTTCTAGCCACAGTTCTACTTTTGTGGACATAATGACCATGGCGATTCTTAAATAAGAAAGGATTTGTTTGGGGCCTTGAGTATAGTTTCAGAGGATTGGTTCATTGTCATCGTGGTGGGGTGCATGAATGGCGCTGGAGCCCTAGCTGGGAGCTACATCCTGATCTGCCGGCTAAGAAACGGAGAGACTGGGCCTGGCATGGGCTTTTGATGTTCAGTAAGATCGCTGTTCTGCACCTACACAGGAAAGCCAGCTCTGTCAAGTAGGAAGTATGATGAACTTCGCTTGTCACAAGGCAAGAAACACCTGGAGTTACCAATGGCCAGAGAGCCTGGGGCACCCTCCCAGAGAGACAGGCACAAACATGCTCCCACCGTCGCCTGCTGTTGTACTTCTGCTCTCTTGATTTTAGTCACCAAAGGACAGCCACAGAAAAGTAATCTAGAATTACAATGCAAACAATGTTAAGAATAGAACTACAATAGGGAACATGGCAGGTATACAATACCCATGGAAGAGAGGAGTGAAAGGATTTAGATATTAAATGGTGAAGAGAAAAGGAAAAGTCTTACCTTATGTTAGAATAAATGTTAATAAAATATATACAACTAAGACCCTCGCAAGTATTTTAAACTATTATTAATTCAAATTATATTATTGAACAATAAACAAATTACAACAGATTACAGAAGTTTTAGTCCCAGCATTGGCTAAATGGAAATGAAATAAGCCAAGAGAACGTAACGGGGAAAACTGCAGTAATTAGCAGGAAAGCATATAAAAGGAGAGTGTGTTATCACAAGCTTTTAGGAAGCTGTTTAGCCTAGCCACAGTAGCCATGCGTGTGCTGCTGGTATCTCCTCACTGGCTGGTGACTGCAGCTCTGAACCTTAGGAACTTCCTTACGATGCTCTACGGTACATGACCGGGGAATGCAATTACGGAGGCCGGGTGACGGACGACTGGGACCGGCGCACGCTGCGCAGCATTCTGAACAAGTTCTTCTGTACAGATTTAGTTGAAAAAGCAGACTACCAGTTTGACTCGAGTGGCATCTACTTCGTCCCTCCTCTTGGCGATGTAAGTATGCCCCCTTTAAGAAACCTAAAATCAGGAAAACAAGAAACTCCTGGGGACTGGTGAGAGAGCTTCTCATGGTGACTTCCCAGCAGACTTTTAATCTTACTGTTCACCCTGTTTTGTGCTTTTCTCAGCTATGTAGGAGCAGAGCATACACAGTGTGCAAAGAGAGTTGGGAGGTTCCTATTTGCTGTGATGTGAGATGGGTTGCCTAGTCACTTGAAATTTTACCTTCTTGAGCTTGATGTTTGGGTCAAAGGACCTTGTCACAACTTAAATGAGTACACACATGCTGGGGATCATAAAATATTAGCAGTAACAATTAACATTTATACCAAAGTAATCTTTAATTAGTGCTAAGTCATGATTTCACTGCAGCATCAAATTAACATTGTATCATTTTTTTTTTAATTCCTTTACGAACAAGGAAGCAGATTCATTGAGGCTGATTGACCCGTCAAAGGTCACTAAAACAGAAGGTGGAGAACCACTGGGGCACAAGGCCATTGCTTCCAGCCCTGTGCCCTGCCTTCAGAACAATAGTACTTAGATACTTTCAAGGGCTTTCCAGCATACTCCACTCATTTCTCATTTGATCCCCAGGATCAAATAATATGCACTGGGGTTGAACCCACGGCCACATGGCATGGGAGATACAAAAAATAAATTGATAACCCCGACCCATCATTAATTAGGGCTGATGTTGGGGGTAAGGAGACCAATAATGATGAGTTGTTAGGTGGTCAGAAAAAAGGGGGAGGACAACAAATATGTTTCATGACCTGTATCATAAAACTATTAGTGTTAAAAACCTCCATGGCCATGAATTCATGTATGTTTTTTTTTTATCTTTTTTTAAAATTTTTTATTAATTACACTTTATTCACTTTGTATCCCCCCTGTGGTTCCCTCCCTCCTCCTGTCCCAATCCCTCCCTTCCTCTACCCTCTGCATGCATGCCCCTCCCCAAGTCCACTGATAGGGGAGGTCTTCTTTTCCTTCCTTCTGATCCTAGTCAATTAGGTCTCATCAGGAGTGGCCACATTGTCTTCTTCTGTGGCCTGGTAATGCTGCTTCCCCCTCAGGGGAAGGTAATTAAAGAGCAGATCAATCAGTTCATGTCAGAGACAGTCCCTGTTCTATTACAATGGAACCCACTTGGATACTGAACTGCCATGGGCTACATCTGTACAGGGGGTCCTAGGTTATCTCCATGCATAGTCCTTGGTTGGAGTATCAGTCTCAGGAAAGACCCCTCTGCTCAGATTTTTTGGTTCTGTTGCTCTCCTTGTGGAGTTCCTGTCCTCTCCAGATCTTGTAAAAATTGTGGTATGTCTACACAATGGAATATTACTTAGAAATGAAAAACAAGGAAATTATGAAATTTGCAGGTAAATGGTGGGATCTGGAAAAGATCATCCTGAGTGAGCTATCCCAGAAGCAGAAAGATGCACACGGTATATACTCACTCATATATACATATAATATAGGATAAACCTATGAAAATCTGTATACCTAAAGAAACTCATCAAGAGGGAGGACTCTTGTTAAAATGCTCAATTCCTATCCAGAAAGGCAAAGAGGATGGACATCAGAAGAAGGAGAAAAGAGGGAACAGGTCAGGAGCCTGCCACAGAGGACCTCTGAAAGGCTTGCCCTGCAGACTATCAATGCAGATGCTGAGACTTATGGGCAACCTTTGGGCAGAGTGCAGGGAATCTTATGAAAGAAGTGGGAATTCATGGATGTTTATGTATGATTATATGAGCACTGGTGAAAGCATAATTTTTGAGGGTTAACTTCTTTTTTATTTTAAAATTTACTTCTATGTGTATGAGTGTTTTGCCTACATATATGTGTGTGTGTTTGTATGCTTCATGCATGTGCAATGCCTAAAGAGGCCAGAAGAGGGCATTGGATCCTGTGGAAGCAGAGTTGTAGGTGGTTGTGAGCCACCTGCTGAGAGTGCTGGGAACTGAACCCTGGTCCTATGCAAGAGCAGCAAATTCTCTTAACCATTGAACCATCTTTCCAGCTTCAGAAAATATAAATTTTGATGCAAATTCATAGAAACATATTATAAAATGCGTGCACATGTGACTAAAAAGATGTGTAATATTAAAGATTGGGTATCTCAGAATTAATAAAACAACATTTATTCCTAAACTTCTATTTTTCACGATGAGAGTAAAGTGGAATAAACCAGAAAAGATCATTTTAATTGTGATGAACTAAAGAACAGTCACCAGCAAGGTGAGTGCGGAGCATACGGAGCGAGCATCTATACTCCTGGCTGAGGAGACTGAAGCAAAAGTTCAAGGCTAAGCAGTGTGTAGTGGAGCTCACCTTTAGTACCAGCACAGAGGAGACTGAGACAGGCAGATCTCTGAGTTTGAGGCCAGCCTGGCCTACACAGAGAGTTCTAGGACAGCCAGGGCTACGTAGAGAAACCCTGTCTCAAAACAAAAACAAACAAACAAACAAACAAACAAAAATCCAAAGGCACACAAACAGTCCAAGGCCAGACTACATAGTGAGACCCTGTCTCATCACACAGCAAAAAAAGTCACTAGGAAAATATAATACAGAATTTGTCTAGCGATTCAGAAATACTGGGGTGTCTTGAAGAGTGATAGAGCCTTTCTCAGCTCTTAGCGAGCTTGTCTTAGGAGACTGAGGGCCTGGCAACCTGACAGCCACCAAGACTATTCTGAGCAGTGGCTTTCACGGTCTTGCCTTTCAAATTTGGAGAATGAATCCGCGCATGGCCTACAGAGGGTGAGGTTAGAGAGCTTTTATAGATTCATAGGTGGGGACGTAAGAGGGATTGTAGACAGGGAGAGAGGAAGGAAAGGAGAGAAGAGAGCGGAGCAGAGGAGAGGCCCTGGAAATACCTACCACTGAGCTCTTAGTCTGGGGCCTATTTAAAGGACTTATGCAGAAACAATTGAGTGAACGCTGGGTCCAGGTGTCCAAACGTAAGGAGTCCAGGTACTTCCTCCGAGTCTCAGTCCTTACATAGCCTCAGGGCAGAGGTGCTCAGCTCTAAGCAACAGAAGAATAAGGAAACAGAGGCAGACTTTTCCTCTGGAGTTCTGGCTCCAGCGAAGCCATTCTCAGAACTGCTGCTTCATCGCTGCCCGGCTGACCAGTTTCCATGCCCCTCTGTCGTTGCTAGGGTAAGTTCCTAAATTATATTACCAGAAACCGCTTTCCTTGTCAAAATAAGTGGCCCATACTGTTTAGCCTTGTCCCGAGCTGAAAGAAGGGAAGACACTCAGCACGCAGGCTCACAGGCTCATCCGCTCCGTGGTCGAGGACTGAAAAGCCTTGTTTCTGAGTCAAGTTCTCCCTCATAATTGACGTCTAACCTCCTGACTTCTGGCCATTCATCTTTGCAGCACAAAAGCTACATCGAGTACACGAAGACCCTGCCACTGACTCCATCCCCAGAAATCTTTGGGATGAATGCCAACGCCGACATCACTAAGGATCAGTCGGAGACGCAGCTGCTGTTTGATAACATTCTCCTTACCCAGGTGTGTGCTATGCGATTCATGGCTCCTGAGCTAGAGCCAGCACGCATCTCTCTGCCCCACCATCCGGCGCAGCCTCCTGACAAAACTGCCAAAGTAAAGAAGCTCTCAAAGCAAAAGAAAAAACATGCCCGCAAAATCCCTTAATTATGGACTTGAGCGTAGAGAATGTGGGCATCTGGCGTTTTCTTTTATTCAGTCCTGCTTTGGAACAAAAGCATCTCTTTGAGTCCCTTACTTCCAGGAATTCCAGTTTGTTTTGCTTTCATGCCTAAGCCTTGCCCCAAATATAGCATTTATTATCTCCCTTTCATTTAGGTAGGAACTGGCATTTTAAAGATGCCTGGGAAGCATTTCGGGAGCAGGATCTGTGTAGAATTTTACCTGTTTTATTTTCTAGTCTCCTACCGATTCAACAGCAGTTGCCTATTTTATGATTCATCTTTATTTAATATCCAAGGACATTTTACCTAATTTGCATAAAAGTTCTTTTTACACTGTTTTATTAGATTTCCTACCACTTTAAGTATAGGATAGCAATATCACAAAATGAATCTAAATAGATAGTTTATTGGTGGAAGGCACACAGCCCTGTTGGTGGAACAAATGTGCCCAGGTGAGTAGAAGGGTAAAATCTTAACATCTAAAATGTGGGCAGCAGTCTGTTCATTAAACAGTTGTTCATCCTGCATCCACCAAGAGGCACTCTCTTTCCTTAGAGGATAACCTCACTTGTTCATAATCTTTGAAAGCAAATTAATCTAGTTGCCAAGAGTTCCCACGGAGATTAAGTAAACTAAGGATGCCTGACTACTCAGCCAGGCAGACGCAGGTGTTTTCACGGCCTCCTGGAGTGAAGCAGTGATGGTTCCTGTTCTTATGGTGCGGGCTTCTCCTTAGCACTGCTTTGTCTTTGTAGCAAACCAAGGAATGAGGGGCCGTTGCCGTTCATGTTCTATAGAGAGGAAAATGAGACACAAGAGGATTAAGTAGTTGAACTAAGGTTGGGGAGTCCAGTTTCAAGGCGAGACCCAAAGCCAAGCGGTGTGACTGTCACTGGTTTGGCTGAGAACCTGTGTTCTGAGCTGCTCTCCTGTACTCTCTTTCCACATTCTGTAGATGCATCAGACCTGAGACTCATCCACAGAAGGCCACAAATCAGGAGGATGTGGGGTGTGTTATCACAAAGCCTCTATTTCTAGCTTCTGCTAGTATACCCATTAAAAACTATTCTTGATGCCCATTTCACACATTGATGACATGAAAACCTGTCACTGACAGAGTACACACAAAGTATATGAGCAAACACGGGTAAGTCAGTCCTGAGGAACTGATTTATTAGAAGCTTGTCATATGTGAAAGCCCGATGGCAGGATTATTTTAGTGTCTTCGGTTTTATTTAAACTTGCTGGTGTGTGTCACATGGCAGAACCCTAAAACAATGGACTCATTCTAACAGAAAATGGCTCAGAACCAAACAAATAAGTTGGATATGCCAGGGTGTCTCCTCAGGATGTGATTACACAACCTATTTCATACTCCTTGGACTCCAACTGGCAAGTGTGACTTTCACAGTATGTAAGCGGTGGCTCCTGAGTCACAGCTCAGAGACAGAGACCAGAACTGCAGGGCTTTGCAAGCCAGTTCATGGTGACAAGACTTTTGTACTAATTTCCTTAACTAACACATCTCAGAGAAAAATGGAAGAGGCAGATAATACCAGAGTCAAGAGTAAAAAAATTTTTTTCAGTGATCTTTTGCTTGTGCTTACCAGTCACACTTTATTTAAGAAGGAAAATTATGAGACCAATATGCTGTGGAATCTCTAAAAGGCTAAACCCTGCAAGGTCTCTTTTAGAATAGATCCCACTCATCTTTCCCCAATTAAAGGAAGACCACCCAACCAGGTGAGGCAACTCATAGTCATAATGGCAGCACTTGGGAGGCCAAAGCAGCAGGATCTCAAGTTCAAGGCCTCTCAGGGCAGATCAGTGAGCCATGCACCTCATCTTTTTCATGTATACTGTTGGGTGTATTTCTGTGCCTATGTGTGTGGGCAGGTGTTGAAGTCATAAGATGGAGTCAGGTGTGCTGGAGTTGGAATTGCAGGCAGCTGTGAACCTTCCAGCCTGGTGCTGGGAACTGGACTCGAGTCCTCTGTAAGAGCAGCAAACACTGGTAACTGCCAAGCCATTTCTCCAGCTTCTCCTTTGCTTCAAACTAAACAGTGAAAAAGGGAGAAAGGGCTGGGTTGAATGGCAACTCAGAGGGGTAGTGTTTGTCTGGAATAGTGGTTCTCAACCTTCCTAAGGCTGAGACCATTTAAGACAGCTTTTCGTGTTGTGGTGCCCCCAGCCATAAAATTATTTTCATTGCTGCTTCATAACTGAAATTCTACTATTGTTGGGAATATCAGTGTAATGTAGTGTAATTATCTATGTTTTCCAACCTTCTTTTCGGTTTTTCGAGAAAGGGCTTCACTATGCAGCCCTGCTTGTCCCGGAACTCACTCTGATGATCTTAGGTGACCCCTGTGAAAGGGTTGTTTGACAAGCCTCCCCACCCCCAAAGGGGTCACGCCCCACAGGCTGAGAACCACTGGCCTAGCACATGTACGGCCACAGTTTCGACTGTCAACATAGGGGGGAGGGGATGACCTTAGAAAGCTGGTGGTGGTGACTGTGGCAGTACAGAGGAAAGGTGGAGGAAAGGCAGGAAAGGCAGTAGAAATGAAAAGTCAGCGCTTCCAAAGGAGCAGCACCCTGCACCTCCTGACGCTTCTCACCAGGCGAACACTGCTCTCTAAACCCACAACTCCAATGGTGTGGTTTGGGGGAGATAAGAAGGCTGGCTGAGTCGCTGAAATAGTTTTCTTACATTTTTGGTCGGTTATAAGCCTGAGGTTTTGTGTGTGTGTGTATGTGTGTTATTTTTGTAGGTTTTACGTTTTCTGTGTTTTAGTACAGCTTCTGCTAGGAAGTAGAATAATTTTAATACATTTATGTCATTTTAGATGTAGGCCAAAGTACAAAAAAGGAAATTATTCTGTAAAAGCAATAAAACGGAAGATATTTCACTTAGTCTGGGCCCAGCATTCATTATTTTTTCCTTCTATTATTTGGTTTAAATATTAATTGTAAACTAAGTACTTTGGGACTGTAAAAAATGTTTATGGGCATAGTTCTTAAATTTTTTTTTTTTTTTTTACTAGCAGGCAATTAAAACTTGCCAGCATTTAATTGCTTTATTGTCTGATTTTTATAAGCTCCTCTAGCGGTATGTGATGTAGGTAAGAAATCTAAGTGAAAATGATAGTATTCACAGAATAGAATGTTTAATATTAATTGTAAGGAGACCGGGAGAGGTAAACTAGGAAGGAGACTAAAGTCAGTTTTCCTCTGCTGGAAAAGTGTGAGCTCGTCAATGTGCCCGGCAGTGCTTATCCCCTCCCCGCACCCCCCTCGGAGGACATTTGTTCTCAGAATTTTCTAAAAGCCATTCCAGAAAACGTAGATTCATTTACGAGATGACACTGTAAACACGAAGCACAAATTACATCCCATGTGCCTTTCTAGCTTCAGAAAGGAATCACTAACACCCTCCCATCCTTCCTCCATAATGGGGCCTCCGAAAGGAAGATGCGCCTGCTCTCTTTGTCCTACAGGCCCGAGCAGAGCACCGTAGCTGTGCTTCTAGCAAGCCAGTGCAGCAGTTATTGGCAAATAGATTTCGTGGCAAGCTTTCTCAAGACACAGCCACATTTCCTCCTTATCGGTGTTGGTGGTTGTCATTGCCCAGCTGCTCAGTCAAGGCTTAGAGGGCACAGGATAGACAAATGTCCCCTAAGGTCCTGCTTCTCTAGACACAGCACATGGGTCTCCTTCCTCCCGTCTCACGCTCATCTCTCAAAACTTCATTCCCCATGGCTTCTGCAATCATTTTGATAAATCTTATGTGGAGAAGAATTTTGGATAGAATAGACAGAGTCATCCTCAGATTTACCTGCCAGTTTTTCCCTCTCTTCTGTCTGGCCTCTATGAGGGTGTTTGTAACAGTTTGAATTCTTCAGTCTCGTTCATCAGGTTCCGGAGGAAAGTCGTCAGATGAAGTAGTAAACGATGTGGCTGGGGACATCCTGGGTAAACTTCCCAACAACTTTGATATTGAGGCTGCCATGAGGAGATACCCGACAACCTACACTCAGAGCATGAACACGGTGCTTGTCCAGGAGATGGGCCGCTTCAATAAGTTGCTGATGACCATAAGAGAATCGTGCATCAATATTCAGAAAGCAATCAAGGTAAGGTAAAGTGAGCAAAAGAATCACTAAGTTAAACAGCGCACTTTCATTGATTTAGCAAATATTTGTTAGTTCTAGGTCTGGAATTAGTAGAGAGATACGTAAGTACGACTGTGCACACTAAGGAGACATTTGCTAAGCCATAGGAGAACAGGCCTGCATATTAGCAATAAAGATAAGCAAAACGTTAAACAAATACAATCAGAAGAGCTAAGGATTTATTTTATTTGCATGTGTGTGTGTGTGTACGTGCACACGTGCATGTGTGTGTGTCTGTGTCTGTGTGTGTAGATACTCATGAAGGCCAGCAGGGGGCATAGGATTCCTTGAAGATGGAGTTACAGTCGTCTGCTGTAACAGTCAACGCTCTTAAGTACTGAGCCATCTCTCCAGGCCCATACACAACCGTCATGTGATTAGTTCTTTAGAAATGAGGAGGAGAAGTGAGGAGAGTGGGAGTGTGGTGTGTTTGAGGAAGGCTGGGGCAGATTCTCCTGAGGACAGAGCCTAAATGGCACCAAAGAGGGACCGTTAAGGGAAGAACATGAGACAGATGATTCAACAGTCATAAAAGCCAACAGCAGTGCCAATGTGGCATGGACCAGAAACATCAAAAGAAGGCTGATGGGGCTAGAATGGGAGGGACATGGGTGTGTGTGTGTGTGTGTGTGTGTGTGTGTGTGTGTGTATGTAAATGTGTGTGTGACTAGGTACATGGCCTTGCCAGCCATGGCTAAGATCTTCAATTTCATTTCAAAATACAAAGACATATTAGGAGCTTTCAGGGATTGTGATACTTCACATATTTTGAAACTCGCTCCTTCCATGGCTGGGGAGGATTGTGGGGAAGCAGAGAGGTAGAGGAGGCAAGTGAAGTATCCCAGCTGAGCGTGGTGTCAAGGTGAAGAGAAATGGCTATCTATGTGCCATGCAGACAACAACTGAAAACTGATGGAGGGGTAAGCAAAAGAGGAGCCAGTGACCACTCCCAGGCATTGAACCTGAGCAAGTAGAAGGTCTAGGAATGGGCACGTTTGAAGGAGAAAGTCAAGAAGGATAGTCAGGTTATCTCTGATGTGTTTAAAGTCAGTGGAGGGGTTACTATTAAATGCCTGCATGAGAGTCCATGGGGGAAGTCAGGGTGGGTAAAACTTCCAGTCTATAATATGTTGATTATAGTCGGAAACAGAAGTCATAAATTGCTCAGATATTTTGGTAGCACTGATGAATGGGTAAGTTATCTTGGAGTCAACCTCTCCTATTCACTGTTTCCCCCCTTCTCCCCCAAACCTCTACGAATGTGCTAGAGTTTTCTTTCTTGGAGTTGTCTCTACCTGTTCTCTAAATATTTCCTTTATGTGGCAAAATAATCCAGATTTAAAAATCCTAACTTGCAATGACCTCTGTGCGTGAGGTAGCAATGTAACCACGTTTTACACTCTTTTCTCTCTGTCTTGGTGAAATTTCCCAACCAATTTAATTGAGAAAAATTATACATCAGGGTTGATAACATGTAGTTTTAAAAATATTGTTATCATGAAAAGGATAATTCCAAGCTTATAAGTCATTATTTGTGCAATAGGACACATATCTACTTCTTACTCTTATATAAATGTAACATAAGGACTATACAAATTCAGCAAAGATACATATTGTTGTACTATATTGTCAAGTTGTTTCTTAATGTTCTATTAAGGAACTTAAAAGAAATTGTAGATAACTAGTTTAATATCTTATTTTTATGATTACTAAAAATTCAAAACTGGGGCCTGGAGGAATGGTTCAGCAGCTAAGAGCACTTGCTGCTTTTGCAGGGGACCTAAGTTTAGTTCCCAGCACTCATGGCAGGCAGCTCACAACTGCCATGCTCCAGCTCCAGCTCCAAAGGGTCGTACACTCTTCTGCCCTCTACTGATACCCACACACACTGTGGCATACACATGCAGAAGCACACTTAGACACAAACAAACAAACAAACAAACAAACAAACATTTTCAAAAAAATGAAATTGTAAACAAACAAACAAAAAGCAAAGGCCAACTAAAATTCAACATACAGAGGAGGACCCCTTTTGCTTTGAGGTGTACCAGCAAACGATGCATGAATAGTCCGTGAACACTACTTATGCTCATTATTAATAGAATGTCAATCACCAGAATTCTCACATCTCTGAAAATATAAACTTGTACAGCCTATTTTCAGTACTGCTTGGTAATATCAGTTAAAAATGAAATATCCTTCATCCTAATGTGTATTTATACATGTCCATGAATGCAAGGGCACAGCACAGGGTTGCCGATGGTGCATTCTTTTAATAGCAAACAGCGTAAATCGGATATTACTCAGCAGTTGTTATAATATGCACAGTGAGATGTCCATGGAGTGAGGAAGACAGGCTTAGAGTTGCCAGTGTAGACAGGTGCCAAGATACACTAGTAAATAACACTGTATAACTTTTTGTGTTTTGTTACTCAATTTGATATTTTTTAAATGGGCTATGCTCAGTAAGGTTATAGCTGCCTGAAGTTGCTACACACCCTCTCTCTCGTCCAGTCTCCCCTCCCCCTACCTCTTACTTATGTGGGTTTTCTCCCTTTTCTCCTTCTTTCATAGATCTGTACATACAAATATTTAATAAATTACTTGGAAATAACTTGTTTACACTATATCACTTTTCTCTCAATAATTCATGACATTCTTCCTAACAGCAAAGATATGATCTGAAATAGTGTAGTACAAATATCTCACTCAAGAATGACAGTTTTCATTTACCATTTAAATCATCAGCAGTCAAAGTACCAGCACTGACAGTTATCCCAGTGATGCGATTTTCTGGTCTAGGCTCCAGGCCAGGATGAAGTTTCCAACTGTGTTCACAGTTGTATCTTTGGCAACAGTTTCTGAGGATTTCTTTTCACTTTAGTGACACTGACTATTTTTTAAGAATCCAGATCAGTTGTCTCTGTTTTTTATGAGATGTTGCATATTGCAGTATTTTCAAAAGTCAAATAATAAATGAAAGAAATTTCTTGTTAAAATTTATGGGATGCAGTTAGCAATATACTCAAGAAAGATTATACTACTTTACTGAGGTTTATTTTTAAGTCATTAAATGAAATAGATTTAAAATAAGTAAATTATTTCTCTTGAACAAAGAAAAGGATGTCTTATTCATTCAATATCAGGAGAAAGAAATTTAAAACCTAAAGCTGAAGAGAAGAAGGGGAGTGGGGAGGAGGAAGAATGGGGATGAGACTGCTGAACAACCCATTTATAAAATGACATAATGATGTACTGAATGCCAAGTCTACTGGTAATAACGGTATTATCCAAATTCATATGAAAACACAGCACAACTCAATAAAATTTTAAAAATTGATATTATCGGGGTATATTCTCTGATTATAGTGTAATTAAGTTAGAAATAAATAACAGAAAGCTAATGTGCAATTTCCGCATATTTTATAAATTCAACATAACACACAACACTGTACTACCTAGAGAAAAAAATTGATGAAAACTTAAATGCAAAGAGCACACCAATTGGTTATATAGTATGAAATAGTCAGTAGCCCTGAAAACATACAAGTAACATCATACATATTGAGCAGGTTGTATCTGGGAATATGTATGTATATAAATACACACTTGTAACCACAAATAATGAAAAAAGAGGCCATGAATTTGAGAGAGCAAGAAGGGGTGTATAAAAGGGTTTAGAGAAAGGAAAGGGAAGGAAAAATATGTAATTTTATTATAATCTCAAAAATTAAAAACAAATATGGAAAAAGTAAATGTAATTTCCATTAAATCATAATGAACAAACAGAACACATCTTCATAAATTTATATGAAAAGCAAAAATCTAGATGAACTCGATGAAATATAAAATGAACATCTTATAAAGATTCAACAGAAATGACTAAGAAAACAGGAGAAAGATCAAGACTAAATTATCATCCTTTTCGGCTGAGAAGATCTAATCTGAACTGTTTCAAACTCTCAAGCTCTACAGCTGCAACTGTTACCCTATGCATGGAGAATCACATGTGGAATTGCATGTCATGAATTACATGGAAATGTCAAAGTGTAGGTACACTAAAAATGTTATGTAAAAACACCTTTAGTATGTAATTTATATATTGACTATGAATAAAACTTTGTTTAAACTTGGACTCACCCCTAACATCTTATTAGATATTGTGGGGAAATCCCCAAATCTGAAATAGTTAAGAATTTTAGGCTAGGAAATCACAATAGGTCTTATTAGTCAAGTCTGTATCATGAATACTTTATCCCAGTAAACTAACAGGATAGGTTACAAAAATGACACGAAAACACATCATAGCCCTCTTTGTGTTTAAAAACTGAATGCTGAGCTGAAAAACCGCTCTCCCACTTTGGATGCTCCCTGTGGCTTGTTACATATAGTGCCTAACTGTCTGCTTTTAGTTGAATATGAGATGTTGTGCAGAAGACAGTGTCATGACACTGATGACGGTTGATTGTGGTCCTCACTGAAGTGTGATATTGGCTGGGTTGTTCGCAAGAAGCATCAGAACCATTAGGCGTTTCTCCTTGACCTGGTTCCTTCTGCCTCTTTCCTGGAAGATCAAAACTAGCCATTATTGAGGGAACTGCAAGAGAACAGAGGCCAAGGGGTCTCTCCTCTAAAGTGCACGCATTAACTTAACTGTTGGTTCCAGTGTAATAACTGGCCTCAAAAGCACATGACAATCCCTGTTTCAGGTTTGTTGGCATTTTTTTTAAAAACTTTGTATTTGTTGGCATTTCCAGGTCAACACTGATGGTACACAGCTTTGAGGAAAAGACCTAATAACTTGTTTCCTAATGTAGGTTTCAAATCCCTTTTCTTTTAGCACAGCTATCCTTCCTGACTTTTAGAAGCAGGAGAGTGGCTGGGGCCATACACATGGGAGAGCACTTGCTCAGCATATGCAAAACCTTAGGTCTGAGTTAAAGTACTGCAAAAAAACAAGTGCTACCTCAGCTGCTAGAAGCTGCTTTCTAGTTCTTAGGATTATATTGTCATGGCTTCTTTCTCTATTTCTGTTTTGACTTTCTGGGCTTATGCCTTTAAAACATAGAATTTACACAATGGAATACTACTCAGCAATTAAAAACAAGGCAATCATGAAATCTGCAGGCAAATGGTGGGATCTAGAAAAGATCATCCTGACTGAGGTGTCCCAGAAGCAGAAAGACACACAGAGTATATACTCACTTATAAGTGGATATTAGACATATAATATCGGATAATCATACTAAAATCTGTACTCCTAAAGAAGCTAAGCATGAAGGAAGACCCTGGGTAAGATGATCAATTCTCACTCAGAAAGACAAATGGAGGGACATTGGAAGAAGCAAAAACAGGGAACAGGACAGGAGCCTACCACAGAGGGCCTCTGAAAGAGTCTACCCAGCAGGGTATCAAAGCAGATGCTGAGACTCATAGCCAAACTTTGGGTAGAGTACAGGGAATCTTATGAAAGAAGGGGGAGACAGAAAGACCTGGAGGGGACAGGGTCTCCACAGGGAGAGCAACAGAATCAAAAAATCTGGGCCAGGGGTCTTTTCTGAGACTGATGCTCCAACCAAGGACCATGCATGGAGATAACTAGAACCCCTGCACAGATGTGGCCCATGGCAGCTCAATATTCAAGTAGGACTGTCTCTGACATAAACTCAGTGGCTGGTTCTTTGATCACCTCGCCCTGAGGGGGGAAGCCTTACCAGCCCACAGAGGAGAACAGTGCAGCCATTCCGGATGAGATCTGATAGGCTAGGGTCAGATGGAAGGGGAGGAGGACCTCCCCTATCAGTGGACTGGGGGAGGGTGTGGTTGGGAAGAAATGAGGGAGGAGCTACAACTGAGATATAAAGTGAATAAACTGTAATTAATACAAAAAATTTTATAAAAAATTTAAAAAAAACAATCTTTGCTGTTTCAATGGGGTTTCAAAAGGCAAGTAAAATATGTGTGTTTAATCCAGTGAATTTACTCCAAAATCTTGAGGTTAGTTCAGATTTTTTAAAACAGAAATTATAATAACGTGGAACAAATACAAAATCAAATAATAAATAAATAAATAAATAGATTGATAAATAAATAAGTAAATAAAAATTAAACTTTATTGGTAACAACAGCAAAACCCACAACTGATTTTTTCAAGTTTTTTCTTGCTAAAATCTCTAAGGCATTTGAAGACCCCCCCAGAGCTTCCATGTGCGGGAGATTATAAAACAAGAGCAAGTAGATCACAGTAGAATTTTAGACTGCTTTTACTCTCCAGCTTGTTTCATATAAGCCTCCTAGTTTTATATGCACCACTGCGACTTTAAGAAGGCAGGCTAGGAGCCCAATCCTAATTTGCCTTTAATGGGCAGGTAAATTAAAGGAAAGGTAGACTGTGATCCAATATCTACTGAATAGCCATGCATTGGTTAAGATTTTCCTCTAAAATTTGGCTAGAGATAGATCGTTATGATTTTTTTATAGAAGGTACCTCACAAACCCAAACAGTCCTTACCCTCGTTACCAAAGACAACATGAAGAAAGCTTTAAAAGTTAGGACCTCCACTGCCAAGTTCACCAAGGTCTGTCGTGTTTCAGGGGCTCGTTGTAATGTCGACGGAGCTGGAAGAAGTCGTCAGCAGCATTCTGAATGTCAAAATTCCAGGGATGTGGATGGGTAAATCCTACCCCAGTCTCAAGCCCCTTGGCAGCTACGTGAATGACTTCCTTGCAAGACTAAAATTCCTGCAGGTGAGTTTATCTATATGAACACTGCTGTCCAGTTTCTTCTGGCTTCATTTTCTTCATCATAATGTTGAGTGTGGGGAGAACAGCATTGTACAGTCCTGAATATTCCAGACACAATGATCTTCATTTAGTAGCATATCACGTGTATATATTGTGTATATATGTATGTATACATATATATGTATGTATATATATGTGTATGTATGTATATATATATACATACATATATATGTATGTATACATATATATATATATATATATATATATAGAGAGAGAGAGAGAGAGAGAGAGAATATATTCCATATTCTGTATCTTAAGTAGGAGGTGTTGTCAAGTAAATGACAGACTTTGGAGAAACATCTGACATGTCGATTTTCCATGAACTATTTAGCGTTAAGTAGAGCCCTATAACAGAGCATCTTAGAAAGCCAGACAAGCCTGTAAAGAGGGGAACTGTTTCTTCATTGCCCAGTAACCCTCTAGCTCTGCCATCTCAGTCCAAGACAGTAGCGACCTCAATGGCTACTTTTTCTGGTTGTGTTGAGTGGGTAGCATCCTCGCACCCAGCTATACACCACTTGACGCTTCAGTGTATGTTAGAAAAGTGATTAATTGCATACATACTACATGAAGGGTTATGTAATGAATTCCAGGCCAGGTAGTCTTTAAACAAACAAAACAAAAACAGTGAGGAAGTTTCTGCAGGAATAAAATGAGCAGGTCCTTTTTCATAATACCATCCCGCTGAAGTACCAGAGTCAGACACTAAAGGACCAGGATGGTTCTTGGAAACTGGGGTTGAACTGTGGGCTCTTCTGGAGTGGAGAATTTTAATTTGTTTCTTCAGAGAGGCTTTTGTAATTTACTATTTAGCCACTTGTTTTTCAAAAGCTCATCATCAAAACCAATGACATAAATACAGAATTAAAGTGTCATTATATTTCTAAAGACCATAAGCACTGCCTTTTATAGTACTATGTTTCAGTATGTTGGATTTCATAGTATTTTAATAAAGTAGAAATAAAAACTTCTAAAAGAATATTCTACTGGGTAGTAATGACTAGTTAATTAGAAAAGACACTGTGAATATTACCATATGACCAGACTTTATGGAAATCAACTCATCTGTGTAACATGATATGAGTTCTAACAATGAGTATGTGTTCACAACGAGAAACCAGGAGACATGTGTAAAACAGACATCTGCATCAGCATTTCATGGATTATAACTCCCCAGCTACTGTGATGGAGATAATGTTGAATAAGAATGGAATACTCCTTTGATAATTACTTTCAAACCTTAACAATGGGCCTTAATGTATATTGAGTCTCATTTGCTAGTTTGCTTAGTTTGGTGAAACAATTCACTGATATTTATCAGAAACTCATAACTCTTGCTATATCACTTTTGTCTGGATCTACCATAGCAATGGTTTGAGACTGGTCCTCCACCAGTCTTCTGGCTTTCTGGCTTCTTCTTCACACAAGCCTTCCTGACCGGTGCACAGCAGAACTATGCCAGAAAGTTCACGATTCCAATTGATCTTCTTGGGTTTGACTATGAAGTGATGGATGATAAAGAATATAAAAATGGTCCTGAGGATGGTAAGTACAGTGACAGGATGACCTGACTGGTGTCTGCGCTGTGGGCAAAAGCAGAGCATTGTTGCTTATCTTCTCAGCTTTCAAAAAGCATTTGTGTACATAAAACAAATCAGAAAGCAAATAGAGAAGAAAATGAATAGAATAGTTGAATTTGGATAAAAGGAACACTCCCCTGTATCTCCTAAACTGAGTAAATTAGAAATCATATATAGTTAGTTAAAATAATCATCAAACAGGCTAATCATCTATAACCTTGTGTTGGCCTTGGACAATGGAGAAAGAAGTCTCTTGAAGACCATACCTTTTAAAATTCCTGATATATGTATCCTCTGCTGTTACATATTTCATTCTGATACTTACATCTAATGATAACATTGTGTGTGAGAGAAAGACAGAGACAGAGAGTGACTGAGAAAGAGAGAGAGAGACAGAGAAAAGAAGGTCTTTGTGGGTGTGGCATAGTCATACACCTGTGAGAAAATGCCACTAGAGACCGGAGGACAATGAGCATCCTATTCCTCACTTTCTGCTTTGTTTCTTTGAGAAAGGATCTCTCACTGAAGCTGGTAGCGAGCTGACTCCAGTGAGCCCCAAGGATCTTCTTGTCTCTGCCCACTAGAGTGCCCGAGTTATTAGGGGTGCACACAAGCAACGCCTGGCTTTTTGATGGATACTGGAATCTGAACATAGTTCTTAGGCTTAAGTGGCAATCACTCTTAACTGAAAGCTGAGGCCCTGGAAACAGTTGAAGACTAGGAGGATGGCTGTGAAGAAAGATCTCTTTCTTGTTTGGTTGTCTTTTAAATACTAAGTGGTGTCTGTGATGTTTTATTCAAAATTTAGTGGGGACCTAAATTCTCAAAGATGACTCATTGAGAAAGGACACTTTCTACCAAGCCTGATAACCTAAATTCAATCCCCAGTATACACATAGTGGAAAAAGAAAACTGAATCGGGATGGGAGCAGCTTACCAGGCCACAGAGGAAGACAATGCAGTCCTGATGAGACCTGATAGGCTAGGGTATGAGGGAAGGGAAGGAGGACCTCCCCTATCAGTGGACTGGGGGAGGGTAATGGGGGGGAAGAGATATGGTGGGGGGATTGGGAGGGAATGAAGGAGGGGGCTACAAAGTGAATAAATTGTAATAAAAAATTTAAAAAAAAAGAAAACTGAATCCCACAAGTTCTCTGAGCTCCACATATGCCTTGCCATACACCCAGACACTCACATACACAAAAGAGATAAAATGTAATAAACATAAACACAAAATAATTAAAATGTAAACGCAGTGGACAAGGCAACTACTTCAAATAAATACTACTTTTCTAAAAGCAGAAAAGATTAAAAGTGCTAAACTTTACCAAAATGGCGCTGACGTTACATGAACGACATCTACCTCTCAGTGGCTGTCAATGGATACTGCTTCAACCAATGTGTCACAGACCACTCTACTTCCTTAGTTATCACTGGCCCAACCTGGGAGGCCGATCAACAAACAACAGGTTAGGCTTTTGCTCTCCCATCCACTGTAAGCCCAAGTGTGAGACGCCAACTAGCAGATGCCGTCAAAACAGGGTCTGACAACTGCCTCACCTTACTATGGCAAATGGTTTCCCTTTCACCTGGGTGTCACACAACTCAAGATTTTGGCAATGGGAAGCCAGAAGCCATCCTGCTGTGCCCCTGGAAAAGTTGCGCTCTCTTGCCCCATCTCTTCCTCTCGTGCGCCATCCCTGTGAAAGCAGAAAGCTAAGAAAACAGTTGTTGGTCCTGCCAAAGCTGTGAGCCCATGCACATGTGCACCTCCTGGGAATCCAGACGGCCTTTCCTTTCTCCTCGAGAGCTTTGTTTCTTTAGTGGTGCCTCCTCTTCCCAGAGTCAACGGACTCAGAATTGGACAGTCCCTAAGCACACCCAGCATTCCTCATCTTAGACGTAATCAATGACTTTTCCATCCTCTTGATACTGCTGTCCTGTATCCCAGCTTCCTAGGAGCAAAACATCTCAGAAGACTGGCTTTGCAGGAAAGCTGAGTTCTCAGCTGTTTTCCTTCTACCCTGCATCCTCTCCACTCCCTGGATGCCTTCTCTTTAGTTACTGACAGTTTCCATGATGACAAATCCCGTGAATCCCCCTTTGTCTTCATCTTAACTTCTTAGCAATGGCTGATGCTCCATTTATCTTCCTAGACATGCTTTCCTCACTTTGTTCGTAGGACATAACCTGCTGGTTTTGTTTTTTCTTATTGTGCAGGTTTATGCTTCTTGCTGGCTTATGCTCCTTCAGCTGTGGGGGTCTCCAAGGACAGAGTCTTTGAACCATTTATGTTTACTAATTCATCCTCTCCCCAGGTGAACTCATCCATTCTTATGTCTTTGAACAACTCCTTGCTACATGCTTCCTTTGTGATCCCAAAGGCTGTAACCACAGCTGCCAACATGCCATTTCTACTTTAGTATCCCCTAGTTATGTGAAACTTGGAATTAATTTCAATAAATAGCACCACCATCCAGCCAGAATTCTAGGACTTCTCCCTTCTCCTCCCTCAGACACTCTTCCATTAAACCAGTGGCTCCCCAACACCTGCCTCCACCCCTGTTCGTCTGGCCTCTGGGCCCTGCCAGCTTTTTATCTTGCCTTGGTGCCCTCACCCAGTCTCCTTATAAAGTCAGCCACAGTGATTCACATGTTTCCTTTTGTTGTCTCTCTCTCTCATGACCATACAAATGCAGAGCCGTCACCTTGCCTGGCTTCACCCTTCCCTCCTAAGTCTCTAGCAGCACCTGGCCCTCAAATGCTGCAGTGGAGCTCCCAGGCCCCACAGAGCTGAAAGTCACTCTGAGTTTATTGAAGCTGGCCTAAGATTTGGCAGCCCCCTTCATCCCGATACTTAACTGCAGAAATGTACTGCAGAAATGTGGGACACTGAGCTTCCCACATAGAAGACCAGAGAGGCAGGGCGACATGCTGTAACTAATCATGCTTTCCCCAGCAGCAGATACCTAAGCCATCATTATCTAACCATTTGTCCAGAGTCCCCTTGTTATTAATGCCCTTGGATAATGCCTGTGCACAATGCTAAATTGCCCAGTTTAACAACTTGGCTATATTGTTCATTTATTATTTCTTGTATTATGTACGCTTTTAAAAATTCCTTCTTCATACAGGTTACTCCTGTAAGAAATAATCTGAGCCCTTGTCCTCATAAAATTCAACTGACAGACTGTGGAACATGCCAAAAAAAAAAAAAAAAGGATAAATATTTATGACAAACTATATAAGAAGGAAGCTAAATAGCTTTGAGCAAAAAAAAAGTCAAGGGAGGTGCTGTGGGCCTAGTGGTGTTGCCCTCTTCCATGCTTTGCCACAGAAACCGCCCATATCTGATCTCAACAAGAAGCCTGCGGCACAGGCGCTGTATGGTCTCTGTTATGGAGAGGCAGACACTTGGGCTTGGGAAAGCTAAATAACTTCCCCCAAGGCCTCGGTAGCATTGCACAGAGACAAGACTTCAGTGCAGGCCTTCCCGCATCATTCTCAACTGCTTTCTTCCCAGCCTACTGTACTGAGCACTTCACAAAGAAGTTTGAAATCAGTGTGATTCTCGTGAAAAGTGTCTCACTAAAACCATGGTTAATTCTTTATTCAGGAGCCTGGCTTTTTCCCTCCTAACTTTTCTCAATGTCATCCTGACATAAGACAAAAAGTGGCATTCCAGTTAACATTTGAGTGGAACTGATGGATATATATATATATATTGGACCCAGCTAAAAGATTTAAGTTGTAAAAACACTGCATAAAGTTTTTAAACTGTGGAATTACATATACCAAGTGTAAGGATTATAGAGCTCTCTGGTTTTCTTTGTACCAATCATCAGGTACCTGTTACTAAGTGTGTGTTGGGGAAAAGAAGTTCTCAGGCACTAACAATGAAGAGTTACCTTGACAGTAGCAGAGTAGCACATAAAACACAAAGTACAGATTACTTTGTGTCTCAAAATCTGTTCAGTAAAGAATGACCATCAGCTAAGCAAACCACTTTACTCACTGTCGATGTATCCACCCCAGCGTAATGATTTCATTGCAGATATATATCTGTTAAATTATGGGTTTTATTTTTGTATGCACACATCACATGTGTAAAGTTTTTATTAGAAAATGTGCTTATCCACAGATTAGGGTGTTTGCCATTCCAGCTTAGTCCATGCTACTTCATCAATTACATGAACAAAAGTGAGAAACCACAGTATGATCTGGAAAGATGGGATTTTCCCCAAGAAATCCCTTTCTCATGGAACCATCTTTGTCTGGCATGGCTGGAACCTGAGTTTCCTCCCAACTTCTGCCTCTTCTTCAGCATTCCTCCTTTTCGACAGTTTCATGTTTCATGTGTGTCTGCTTCTGGTTTTCCAGCCCTACAAGTCAGTCTTGGCTTGTTTACCAAGAGGAAAAGTGATAGGGTATTTAGTGTGTTGACACATGTAAAACACTAGTATTTGGGAAGCTAAGGTAGGAGTGTTTGAGAGCTTACGGCCAGTCTGGCTACCTTAAGATCATGCCTCAGAAAGTAAATAAGTAAATCAATATCTAAATGTCACAATGGATCTAGGAAACTGCTGTCAGTTTATTTCGTGCTTAGTATTGGCTATCCCAGGTATTTCACCTAAGATTCCTAACATCTGAATTGCTAGTCACATTTGGGCAACTCAGTAATTAACTGAAAGCGTTGAGTAGTGGAAAGAGCAGCAGGTAACAGAAGAATGGACCTGGGAAGCTATGGCTGGCACTGTGTGTCTGCCTGCCCTCCCCAGGCAGGAATTTCAGGTGCAGAACTCAGTCCCTGTGCATCTTTCAATGTTAACATCTCTCTTTGTTATTCAGGTGTTTACATTCATGGGTTGTTTTTGGATGGAGCTTCCTGGAACAGAAAGATCAAGAAACTTGCAGAATCACATCCTAAAGTTCTCTATGATACAGTCCCCGTGGTCAGTATTTGCCTGCATACGGATATGCGCACATATGGTCTGTTCTTGTTATTTATGGGGACTTTGTTCTGTAAAGCTGCTCCCAATGCTAAATTATTGACTATGTTTGTTTTCAGTGTGATTCTGGATTGAGGTTCTGCAGTCTCAGCATGTTTGTTGGTTTATTGATACATACTGTTGCACTGTTTCTGTTTAAAGGAAACTCACTTAATGTGCATTATTTCCTCTTTGACATTGACTCATTGTCGGTAGCACTGTGATTCCCACTGCATGAAGCTCATCCCTCAGCCTTCTTGCACATAGGAACTTCGTATTGTGCTGCAGCCTTTTGCCTGTGAGTTATTTTAAACAATGGAATGCCAACAAGCCAACACAAAAATGCTAACAACTGAGTACTAAAGAGCCCATGAAGAGCATGGTCATTTACAGTTATGAGAGCTGAAAATAAGAAAGCAGGATTTGCCCTGCTCCAACTATAGCTATGAAAATGTATGTGGGATAAACAAACTCAAATCCTATGTCAGTGAGCACACACTGCCAGGGTTGGTTTTAGGATGAGAAATGAATTTTGGAATCTCATGAAACTTACCGAGAAGTTCATGAATGGTAAGTAGCAAAGGCATGTTTCTGTGTGTAACTGTATTACGGCAAAACAGATTTTTACATAGTCTGAAGGGCACATCAAGGATGGTATGAAAAAACAGACTATTGGAGTCACATGAATTGTAGCATTCTATAAGTAGCTTAGAGACAGGTGAAAGCTCACCTTAGCAGCTGCAAAGGGCAGGACCAGTCCAAACCCCGAAATTTCATCCAGATTCTCTTCTCTACATACCAAAATGCTCTGGGCAAAGGAGGTTTAGGACAGAAGACTACAAAAGTGAAATAAACATTTGCCATTTCAGGAGCTCTCTCCCTCCTCCTCTCCCAATCTTACCCTCCCTCCCTCCTCCTCTTCCAATCTCACCCTCCTTCCCTCTTCTCCACCCATGCCTCTCCCCTAGTCCACTGAAGGGGAGGTCTTCCTCCCTTTCCTTCTGATCCTAGTCTATCAGGTCTCATCAGGACTGGCTACATTGTCTTCCTCTGTAGCCTGGTAAGGCTGCTCCTCCCTCAAGGGAGGTGATCAAAGAGTAGGACAATCAGTTCATGTCAGAGACAGTCCCTGTTCCCATTACTATGGATCCCACTTGGACACTGAACTGCCATGGGCTATATCTGTGCAGGGTTCTAGATTATCTTCATGCATGGTCCTTGGTTAGAGTATCAGTCTCAGAAAAGACCCCTGGGCCCAGATTTTTTGGCTCTGTTGCTCTCCTTGTAGAACTCCTGTCCTCTCCAGGTCTTATTATTTCCCTCTTCTTTCATAAGTTTCCCTGAACTCTGCCCAAAGGTTAGACATAAGTCTCAGCATCTGCTTTGATAGTCTGCAGGGTAGGACTTTTCAGAGGCCCTCTGTGGCAGGCTCCTGTCCTGTTTCCTGTTTTCTCCTTCTGATGACCATCTTCTCTGCCTTTCTGAATGGGAATTGAGCATTTTAGCCAGAGTCCTCCTTCTTGATTAGTTTCTTTAGGTGCACAGATTTTAGTATGTTTATCCTATATTATATGTGTAATATCCACTTATAAGTGAGTATATATCCTGTTTGTCTTTCTGCTTCTGGGATACCTCAGTCAGGATGATCTTTTCCAGTTCCTACCATTCACCTGCAAATTTCATGATTTCCTTGATTTTATTGCTGAGTAATATTCCATTGTGTAGATATATCATAATTTCTGTATCCATTTATGAGGACATTCTTAATTAGCTTACAGGAAGTAGAGGGAAGAGTGCATATACAAATGGATAATTATTCTCAACAAAGAAGTCAATGAGAAATAAAAATTCTCATTAGAAAAATCCATTGTACACTTAAAACAAAGTACATCCAAGTTCAAGTGTTTTGATAGATGCGTTATTGTTAATCTATAAAAACAGTTTGCCCCACACCCCCATAACATAGATCCCACAGTGGCCTGGGAGAAACAGATAGCCCTGGGTCTTCATCACTGCTGTCTTCATATGATTGTGTCTTCACCTAAGGACCCTAAGGGAGGGTTGGTTTCTGAATAGTCAAGTTATGTACCTCAAGAACTACTTATTACTGTGGGTTAAATTAATTTGATCAAATTCTAAAAGGTGTTTATGATTTTAGTTTGCTCTTTGCCCTTATAAGTCAAAGGTCAGCTGGCCTTAAAATCTTGCTCTGAAGGCAGGCAGTTCTACAATAAATTGCCTAATGACTAAAAAGAATAGGAGTGTATTGTAGATAAAGGAGGAATACAACTATGTTATATTTCTATCTAAGTGGGGAAATTATGCTTTATACAACTTCTTTAATAACTGTCTGGAAAATTTATAAGTATTAGTGCATATAATGCAGACATTAGTATTCACTCTGATATTTCCATACATCTCCATATTGTGCCTTGACATGTCCATCTGCTTTTCTTCTACTCTGGTCCCCTCTCCCAGTGACAACCTCGGATCCCTAGTCTCCCTTTTCTACATTCATTCAGCTTCCTTGATGCTTCTTGTGCTTCTGCAAATGGACAGCACACCAGTGCCTCTCTATATGCATGCATATATGCGTATGTATGTATTATGTGTGTATGTATGTATGTGTATGTATGATGTATGTATGTGTATGTATGGATGTGTGTGTATGTATTGTATGTATGTATGTGTATGTATGTGTATGTATGTATGTATAATGTGTGTATGTATGTATCTATCATCTATCAATCATGTATTATCCATCATCAATCTATCATACTGTTGCAACAAACTGGGGCCTGTAATGATTTTTTCATGTTGACTTCATTCATTTGGATCTGTCCCCAAGAGCAGTCTAGCTGGCAGTCCTTTTTCACTTTTTTGAAAGACCTCCATACTATTTTACTAACTTACCTTAAGAAAATTAAATTGTCTTCCTAAAGAATCTGTCTTTCTTTGACATATATGTTGACACTTTTGTCAAGATCAGTTGGCTACAGATGAATAGGTGCCTCTACAGGTTTTCCATTCTATTTGCATGCTCGGTGCCATCCTTATTCGGACACCATGCTGCTTTCTTTAGCCCACTTCTGTAGTGTGCCTCCAAAGTGGGAATTGTGAGGCCTCAGCTTTGCTACTTTTGCTTTGGGTTTCATTGGCTCTTCTGGGTTGTCTGGGCTCCCATAGGAACAGGATTTTTCTAATTCCCTGAAGAATTAATACTAGTATAATCAGCGAGGTCTGTATTTGATTGACAGAGCGCGTCTCAAACAGTAAACTGAAATAGCAATTGAGATTCCAGACAGCATCCTCAGGCATAGACACACATGCAGATACACCTGTGCATACATGTTGCCACTCACGGACAAGTATTGCAACATATATAACACGCAGGAAGAAAGAAGATGGCACTCCCTAACAACATACAGAACCGAAGAAAATCACTAAGTTAGAATTCCTGATCACTCAGGCTCAGGTACTCTAGACAACAATCAACAGAGATACCTCAGGGAGAGTTCTCTCTCTCAGTGGTGTCGCCACTGATAAGTTGCCCATTTTTCAGTAACTAAGTCACCACTCACGTTCATATAAACTTAGTGGGTCCAAAGGTAAAAACATCATGGTAGGAGGGGAAGAAAGGCTTCATCAGGAATTAGTGCAGAGGGATGAGAATGGGCAATAGAATGGGTAATTAAGAGGCATAAGGACCAAACTCAGTATATAGTGTATTAAATCATCAAGGATCTTAAAAAATAGAAAAAAACATAAAAAAGGAAAATGAAAGAAAAAAAGGACCAAGATGAATTGAAGGCCAGGGGAACAGGGGTAAGGATAGGAAATGATTGATTGCTGTATTCTAAGTTAGACCAGAGCACAAAGCTGTGCAGTAACACAGCCTAGATGTACATCATGGTTTTCCATATTTCTAGAGCTTTTAGGTGGAATGTTCTGTTTAAAATCCATTTACTTACTGTGTGGATCAACTCTGATTTTTCTGTGTATATGCTTCATCTGGATGACCATCCATTGATGAGCATGGGGTACTGGCATCCCCAGCTATTGTTATACTAGAGTCCATCCATGCTCCATTTTTTTCTAATAGCATTGTTTTATAAAGTTGGTTACTGTTATTATATGCGTGAATATTTATAAATAATACATCTTCTTGATTTCTTAGTTGTTATGCAATGACCTTTGTCTCTTCTTATTCTCTTAGTCTTAAAGTCTACTTTGTCATATATGATTACTCATTCTTGGTTTTAGATTCCATTTGCTTGGGATATCATTTTCTACCCTTTCATTTCAGTCTGTGTGTCTTTATGGTTGAGGTGAGTTTCTTGTGGGCAGTATATTTTGGGTCTGGTTTTTAACCCATCCAACAATTTGTGTCAATTAACTGGAGAATTAAGACCACTGTCATTCAAAGTTATGAAAAGCATGGTATGCCTGTCATGTTCTTTTAAAAGGTTTATTCATTTTATTATGTATATAGTATTTTATCTGTACACATGCCTGCATGCCAAAAGAGGGCATCAGATCTCATTATAGATAGTTATGAGCCACTGTGTGGCTGCTGACAGTTGAACTCAGGACCTCTGGAAGATCAGCCAGTGCTCTTAGCCTCTGAGCCATCTTTCCGGCCCTGTCTGCCATGTTTTCTGTTTTCTTCTGTTGAGGGTAATATTTGATTCTTCCTGCCTTATTTGTATTCAACTCTGTGGTTTGATGATTTATTGTATTGATACTTTGATGTTTGAGATCTCTCATTTGTGTCCCCACTCTTCTAGTAGAATTTATACTTTACATGCTCATGATGATAGTTTCTCTTTCTTTTACTACTGGGTATAGGGTTCTCTTGAAAGCATCTTTAGTAATGTTGGTTTTGTGTTCATAAATGATCTTAGTTTTTATTTATCTTGCAAGGTATTTTTTTTATTCTTGTTTATTGCTCTACAGGCAGTAGGACCTGGGAAAATGGAGCCGACAAAGGAGGTGGACTAAAGTCTTCATCCAATGGCCAACTTTATTCAGAGCATCAGACAATTTATACTCTGAAGGTTAAGAAATGTCACATTAGTAAAGTGTACAATCACAAAAGCAAAAACATGTTTATCCCTAGAGGCATATAAACAGATAACAGTAGCCAGTCATGATGAATTACCTCAAGTAAACTCACTTTTATCCTCTGCACCTGGGAGGACCAGGAAAACACATTCCAAGAACAATTCTGTGTTTGAAGAAACTGAGATCACAATTCTCTTCTTTTTTTTTTTCTTTAGTTTTCTCAGAAGCACTGAAAATTCTCGTCACAGGACTCCATTCTTGGACTGTGTCTGATAATTCTAAAGGACAGCATTGTTGGATATAGGAAGCTTGAGTACAATCTTTTTTCCAGAATCAAATATGTTATGTCATGTCCTTTCGGACTGTAGAATTTCTGCTGAGAATTCTGTTGGTAGTTGACTAGGGCTTCCCTTCGGTGTGATTTGGTGTTTTGCTCTTGCAAGTCTTAAAATGTCTGGGAGCGATGAGATGGCTTCATGGGTAGGAGCATTTGGTGTAAATGCAAGAAGACCTGAGTTCAAATCCTAGCACCTAAGAAAGCCCAGGTACAGCAAACACCTGCAGCCATGTTTGCAGATGGAGACAGACAGATCCAGGAGCTTGCTGGCCAGCCATCAGTGAGCTTCAAGGCCGAATGACAGACTTGTTTCAAAATCCAAGATGGAACATAATACAGCAAGATGTGTAGTATCTTTCTGGCCTCTCTGTACATGTGCAAATGTACATATGCGCATATAACGCCTCCCCCCACACCTACTTTGTACTATACTTTTGGTATCTTGACTGTAGTATGTACTGTGGGGGTTTAAGAACTCCGTTCTATACACAAATACCCATGTTTTCAAAGACTAGGGAAGCATTCAGCTCTTATTTTATTGAATAGGTTTTCAGTGCCCTCAATCTTTAATTTTTTTCTCCTTCAAGTATGCCAATTATGTAGATATTTGATCTTTTAGTAGTGCTACAAAGATCCTATAGTTTTTTTAATTAATTTTTTTATAAATTACAGTTTATTCACTTTGGGGTTTTGTTTGTTTGTTTTATTTTAAAGGTTCATGTACCTCATACTAGCCACAAGGATCCCATTTAATGCAAAAATGAGTGATATACAACATGAGAATGATTTGTCAGAGTCAATGGAATAGATTACAAAATGGAATTCCGAACTTTCAAAATCTAATTGCCATGCAGTTCTCAGAAACCAAAAAGTGTAATGTACAATGTAATAACACTTTTATTCAGAAATGCTAGCTCCCAATGGCATTTTGTAATGTTCCCATGTTGTTTGTTTTCAATGAATTTATTTATTTTTTATTGATTACAGTTTATTCACTTTGTATCCCAGCTATAGCCCCTTCCCTCATCTGCTCCCAATCCCACCCTCCCTCCCTCATCTCCTCCCATAGTCCTCCCCCATTCCACTGATAGGAGCCAGGCACTGAGTTCATGTCAGAGACAGTCTCTGTTCCCATTACTAAGGAACCTACTTGGAGACTGAGCTGCCATGGGCTACATCTGTGCAGGGGTTCTAGGTTTTCTCCATGCATGATCCTTGGTTGGAGTATCAGTCTCAGAAAAGACCCCTATGCCCAGATTTTTTGGATCTGTTGCTCTCTTTGTGGAGCTCCTGTTCCCTCCAGGTCTTTCTATCTCCCTCTTCTTTCATAAGGTTCCCTGAACTCTACCCAAAGTTTGGCTATGAGTCTCAGCATCTGCTTTGACACCTTGATTGGTAGTCTTTCAACGGTCCTCTGTGGTAGGTTCCTGTCCTGTTTTATTCTGTCTTGTTCTCTCTCTCTCTCTCTCTTTTTTCATGAGATGACATTCTGAAAGATTTCAGTATATCTGCTTCAGCTAGTCTGATTTGGAGACTTGCAGATGTATTTTTTTGACTTTTGAGAGAGAATCTTACTGTGTATGCCAGGCTGGCCTTGAACTCACAGCAATCTTTCTATCTCTGCTTGATGAGTTCCTCATTCATATCTATATTGTCTTCCTAATTTGTTTCTTATTTACATCTTCTCAACCCTCATTTGTCATTGAGCTTTATATTTGTTGTGTTATACAGGGGTTCATACAGCTCAAGCCGGACTTGAACTCTATAGTATACTGAGGGTGACCTTGAATTTCTGAGCCTCCTACCTCCGTCCTCCAAATGTTAGGATGACAGGTTTATGTCACCATGCCTGGCTTTGTGTGGTGTTGGAGATTGACCCCCAAGGCTTTATGCATGCTAGGAAAACACCCACACCCCTAGACCTCTCACTTAGCCTTTAGTCATTATTTTTAATCTATCAGACATGTCATCAACCTCAGCATCTTTGGAGTCTGTTACTAGGGAGTTAATTTTAGATGTATTCTTTTAAAATATTTAAACTACTTCTCATGTGTATGTTGAAATCTGTCCATCTAATGAAATGGATTATCTGTATCACTTATATGGGATAGCTTTCTTAGAATCTGGCTTTCTCTTAAAGATTGTATTGGGGTATCAATTTCTTAAGCTATGCTGAGTTCCTTTCCAGCTGGTACTGCAGCACCCTTGTAGCTTCTTTGACTGTTGTTATTAAGTTTGGGTAGAGCATGTACTTAAGAGAGTCAGATCCTCTGTCAATGGATTACCCATGAGGGACACTGTTTAGGTAGGTGTGAAGCAGGGAACAATGTGAATGAAGTATCCCCTATATGGTTCCTCCCATAGCAGGAGCGATGGAGTGCACCCTCTATGGTCCCTCCTACAGTGGGAGTGCTGGTCCCCATCCAGTGGTGGGGCTTAGATACTGTTGATGTTGGTTTTGTTATTTGAACGCTTCAGTCTTGGCTGCTCCAACAATGGTGAGGGGTCTGAGCACTCTTTTGATTAGACACAGGTCCAGCTGCTTCACAGGGAGTGACAGAGCAGGCTCTCAGAGGGTCCCTACCTGTGCATTCCTGGGAAAAAGTATTTCTGTGGCTCTAGGTTTTTTTTTTTCCATATTGTTTCAGCAGCAGTGCCCATCAGTGACTGAGTGTCAGTGAGTGGGTCATGGCCAAGGTCAGGCAAAATCTCTCTACCAGGAGGGACAGCAGGTATGTGTTGGGCTGCTTTTTTAGCTCTGTAGCTATAAGGGCTTTCTCCTTCCCACTTATTTTATTCAAAATTTCACAGCAGCACTGTCTAGTTTCTTGAGACTTGCCTGGGCTGTGATCCGGGGCCAGGGGGGCCAGGGCTACAGATGGAAGGGGGTGATTTGGCTGGGATTACGTAGGCTGGAGGCAATGAAGTATTTTTCACTCTTCCCTGGGGCATCATGTCACATCAGAGCTCAAGCCACAGGCAGGCTCCTTGATATCCTGGTTCTTGTAGAGGGCACCCTTGGCTCCCTCTGAATCATACTCTTCATCACCATTTAGTAACCTCAGAATGTTGAACAAATTTGCTAAGCTAAGCCAGTGTGGCAGAGAATGGCTATGCCATTCCAGAGATGGGAGTTTGTGAGGGTTTCGGCCCTCAGAGCAATCCATTCAATCAGGGTCCCTTCTCAGATTGACGACTGATTATAGCACCCTGGGGGTCTGCTCGAGGGTGAAGCCAACTTGTGCGAATTTCAGGCCTCTATCTTCTTGGGCTGTCTACCTGAAAGAACCTGGGAACTTCAGTGTCCATGCTGGGCATTTCCTGGAGGTGAGCCCATCCGAGTTGTGGAAATGGGCGCCTGGTAGTCTGTTCTGTTTCTCTTGCCCTACTGCTATCCCAGGTCTGGATTTTACAGGGTTTTTGTGTTCTGACACTGAATTTCAGTGTTTCCCCAGTCATTCATTCCTAGCTGTGGCTCTCCAGGCTTACTCTGGTTCTTGTGGAGGAGCCTGGGTGTGTCTCTAGAGCCACCTTGTCTGGATTACAGCTGTTAAACACAGCATAGTATGCATACTATAAACAACGCCGAGCAGGTGTTATAAACAAATCTCTTCAGAATGTATTGGTTTCAAATAAAAAAAGTCATGATTCTGAGTATAAATAGTGGTGCCTCTCTTTGAGACTATATTTAGTTTTGTTACTAAAAGACCCAGAAAAAAAAAAAAAAGAAAGAAAGAAAGAAAAACTCCAGAAATCACCCCCAGAAAAACAAAGTGAACAGGTGATGAACGGTTGGTTAATTTTTTTTTCAAGTATTAGTGTCTTTGTAATGCCACAATGCAGTATTTTATATATATTAACTGCTTACTATAAAAACATTACATACAACCTGTGAGAAACCAGACAGCTCAACAGAAATGTGGGTCATAAGGTCCACTAAGAATAGTATTTTCTTTGTAGAAAGAGTAAAAATGAAAACATGTCCCAGGCTAGCCCAATAAACTCACTCAAAGCAAACAGAATCTGAACTACACAACAGGTTTCTAAACAGAGGCGAACTGTTTTCGTTTGTAGAGTGTTCTGAGCTAGTTAGGAGTCTTTGTATCTGAACAACCATTTCGCAGACTTCTCTCTGGAACCTCCTCTGGGACGCTCACACACAGCAGCTAAAGTACATGCCAGCATAGAGGCTCTGACTTAACCAAGTGTTTGCACTTTCTTCCAGATGTGGCTAAAACCCTGTAAGAGGTCAGACATACCCCACCGGCCGAGTTACATCGCTCCGCTGTATAAGACAAGCGAGAGGAGGGGCACGCTCTCTACCACCGGTCACTCCACGAATTTCGTCATCGCCATGATCCTTCCCTCCGACCAACCCAAGGAGCACTGGATTGGACGGGGTGTGGCGCTGCTGTGTCAGCTGAACTCTTAACCTGCAGGTCTCGCCATCTCTTCCTACTTGTTAGATTGAGTAGAACATATTTTATTGTTTACATTTTGTTTTGGCTTAATAAAACTTAATTAACATTCTTAATTATGACTTATTCTGGTCTCTTTTTAAAGTGTCATGAGGATTCAAACTTAATGTTCTGATACCGAGACTGAAAAGCACATCAGCACACTTTCTCTCTTTTGAGTCACTTTATTTTGGGAGAGTTCCATTAAGCATTAGGAACATATATAAAATGACACAGCACTGTTGACAATGAAAAAACAGCATTTGATCACTTCCAGCTTTATAAATTTAAAAAAAATGATTCAGTTACAACAACAAAAAAATGTCTAGATATTTTAGCAAGTATCACCTTGCAGGACCATAATCACATTTAAGCCACTGACTTAGGGTTAATGGAAAAGGTTCACACTGCATCTAGTTACTATTGTATTTCTAAGCATAATCACAGCCGGTTGAATGCAATGTGATATACACCAAAATCCATATGGGTGTCACATGGTGACAGCATTGTACAAGTAACATTGGTGACCTCCAACAAGCATGTTAAAACTAGACTGGTCAAGCTAAGTGGAATGTTGGAGCCAAACAGAAATGTAGTGGAATTAGGATTGTCGAGTGAGACCTGAAACCATACATTAGAATGATGTAAAAACTAAATTCTGGTGGAACCCTATCAAAATACTAGCAGCATCTGTTAAAGCCCTCCTAAGTGGTTAAGAAATTCTAACAAAGAAAGATACCATTCATTTGTATACTGTAGGCATAACCGATCAGCTTTAAATGAGGCATTTTAGAATGGGAGTATATTCCAGCTGTTGTTTTAAATGAAGCAGATTTAATGCTGAAATGCATAATCCTCCTTGGGTATAAAACTCAACAATGAAATACAAATGCATCTTGGTTTTGAAAGCAAAATATGAGTCACTTGGAGTTCGCAGTACTTGGTACGCCAGCACCTTTCAGCAAGGCTGCCTACAAGGCCAGGCAATGAGGGGGAGTGATGAAAATGGGTGTATAAAGCCACTTACTGCAAGGAGGGCTCAGAAAAAACAACTGCTGTAAACCACAGAAGGACCGCCTAAAAACCCTAACGAAGATGCTGGTGCTCGCCTGCCGACACCTGGATGCACACGCCGCTCTCAAAGCTTTGTTTTCCTTAAAAAAATTCACAGAGTAAGAGGAAAAGAACTGGCAAAGGGACTGAATAAAAACATTTAAAATGGAATGGACAGGGTTTGGCTTTCGTAGTTTCTTTTCTCCCAGGGTTATCCTGGCTGCCAAGCAGTTAAAATAAAGCTAGCTGCACACGGTTGAGAAAGTTTACCTGCGTAAGAGTGAGTGGCAGGAGGTGTAAACAGCTGTATGCACATGACTAGTCCATGAGCTACCGAGTCACAGTTCAGGCTAAACATGACTTACGCTTCTCACACCTCATCTGACCAGTGGTGTAAGAACAGGCACCCAAACACAGACTATTCCAGAGCAGGCACCAACAATGTCTCTTGGCACAAAATGATAAAGTGATTTGGCTTAGTCATGTATGTGGTACCAAAGTGGCTATGGTACCAGTGCAGTAACTGTTTATCCGACATCTTATATGGAGAGACTACAGGCATGGCAGACTCGGATTTTACTACCAGCCACAGCATGTGCTCTGAGTTCCAGTGTCAAACTGGTAAGCCACATGAACACTCAGAACTTCAAGCTTCCAATTAGCCTAGCTAGTCCTAGGGAAAAGGAATGCCACTTCTCTGATATTTTCTAGAGTGGTGATTTTAAGAAAAAGGTATCTGACTACATGCTCTGACTGGGCCCCCAAATAAAAACAAAGTTAAAAAAAACCCCAACACCAAGTATAGTGATGCAAAGAACCATTATGAATAGTTCATTAAACTGAAGTTCACACAAACATACAGTCACAAATTTCAGTAGTTTAGGCTGCAAGTCTGAACACTATGCAAATATATACAAAAATAGTAACTCTAGATTCAAGAATAAGGGCTTTTCCCTATGCTAAATTCATCTTCTAACGCAGCCCGGGCTTCCCCTAGTTCCTAACGTCGACTTTATACAATTTCAAAGTTGTGTCAAGTTGATCCCTATTATTCCCGTATGCATATATGTAGCTGAATTAAAGGGCACTAAAGTTCATTCTTAGCACACACACAAAAATGTCTGCTCAAAGTCCATTTAAAATACTTTTTAAATTTAAATGATTTTTTTTTTTTGGTTTAATTTCTATTTCTGCATAGCCACAGAAGTTTCTACTAATAAAAAGACTAGTGTTTTATATGATTCTCTCTCTTTTTAAAGTCTTAAACTTCTATCAGTATTGGTTCACGGAGTCCCATTTTCTCCTGTCTTTATTACAAACTTTGTTTTTAAAAGCCCCATTCATGCAGAGCAAACAGTACTGAGCACCAGTCTTTTATGGTTAGGCTCAAATCTACAGAACCTGTGAGTGGTGCGGGCCACTGGATTCTCTGAGCAATGTGCATACAGTACAAGGAATGGGGCAAGCTGCACCAACGTGCTCGCAATCAACAAAGAAACCGGGAATGGTCAGAACTGGATGTCAAACACAATTTTGTCTTCATAGAGGGCGATCACCAGCATGATGGCAAATCCAAACAGCAGTCCTAAATTCTGAAGAATGAACTGCCCGACTGGACAAAAGCCATGCTCTTCATTGTCACCATCGCCATGCAGCATTTCTGGAAGCTGAACAAAGACATTGAAAATGTGTAAAGTTTACAATCTGACAACTTTATATATCCAGTTCTAGTAAGTGTGTATATACTACATAGTTTGTCTTCCTTTCTCTAAGTTTTTATTGTTAGAAATACTTTTCTTTCTGATTTCCCTTAATAGTGAAGCATAAATAACATACAGAATGTTTCACAGATATGCCCTCTGGATTCCTGTAGGCAGTGATACCGAAACAATGCTGGGCCTTTGCCATTCTAAAGTTTTATGTGCATGCCACAACTGCCATAATTATAGCAAAAAGCTGGCCAGTGTCTACTGGTACACAGCACTTATGAATATTCACCAACGTCAGGGTATAAGTGGGGCTCTCGGGTATAGCCTACTTGGTATTTCTAAGGCCCTTTTTTAGGTATGACCATCTGTAAAACACACACACACCACACCACACCACACCCACAGAAGAAGGAAGGAAGGAAGGAGAGAAGGAAGGAAGGAAGGAGGAAGTAGGGGAGGAGAAGAGGGAGGGAGGGTGGGAAATTATTTCCACGGAGGCTCCTTTGGAAGCCATCACCTGCCTGAAGCCTTCAGATAGCTTTAGGTAAGCAATCTTCCCTCTGGTCAAGGCAGTCTTTCTAATAAAAATGCAGTTCTATTATTCTACTGCTGCAGCCCTGTTTGGTTTTCCAAATTCATGAGCAGCATATTGTACCTGACAATGCTTACATTATCCCCCATTAAGCCATGTTGAGGTTTAAAATCTATTTCGTTCATTTAATTTGTGTGAGAATACCTATGTGTGTGATACAGTGCACTTGTGGAGGTCAGATGACAAGTTGCAGTAAGCAGCTGGTTCTCTCCATCCACCTTGAGAACTCAGGGTGTCCTGACCTCCAGAAAGTTTCACCCAGGAAGCTCAGGTCACCAGGCTTGGTGGCAAGTGCCTTTATCTGCTGAGTTCTCACTGGCCCTGGATGCCATTCTTAAATACCTTTTTCCTAATTAGAAAAGGCATCATAATGTGCTAGGAAATATACGCAGGGGGCTTGTTTCCTTCCATGTCAACATTAGAATGTCTTTGATATAACTGAGTCCTTGCAGAGAACAGGTCTATGCTGTTAGCTTGTTTATTGTATAGATGGCCATCTCTTCAGTTATTTCCTCAGAACACAATCCCCAGAGTAGAACTAATTACCAGAGGGATTCTGTCACCACTGGACTGAGGACCTCATATACCTGTTCCTCTTGCTCCCAATAAACACTTCCATGTTCTTTAAAACTAAGTCCAGATTTCTTATTATTGAAAAAGCAAAGTGAAACTGTTAAGTCCCTAGCTACTGTAGGGTGTGGCTGGCCTACCCTGCCCCCTACCTAGGAGTGGAGCTTCTCTTTCTAGCCTTGACTATATAATCCAGACATTTTGGTTCCATAGGACCTTACCTCCCTTCCTGCTCTCTCTCTCTCTCTCTCTCTCTCTCCCCACTCTCCTTCCCCCTCCCTTGCTGATCCAATAAAGCTGCATTTATATAATATAGCTTTCTCTCCCCATTAGCTTATCTCATTAGCTCATTCCATTTTATTTAACCTATCAGAAACAGCTTCCCTAATTCTCTTCTCAGCCTGCTTCTCTATAGTTCCAAATATAGTACATGACTCTGCTCTAAGCTGGAGAAGGAGCTAGGAATAACTGGGGAAGAGGTTCAAAACATATTTCATAAAATAAACATTTTGTTTATCCTTTATGTGTGTCAGACCACCTTCGTTCACAGTGGTTGTGAACTGCATTTCCAGGACTGTTACCCAGCACCTAACAATGATGGCAATAATGCTGGTCTGCTTAGAGCCATCTCCCCACCAAGGCCAAATGCTCAGCGTGATATCAACAGATCAAGACCCAAGTGCCAGGGAGAGAGAGCACATGGGGACTGGCGGGTTCTACCCTTGAGAAGCAGACTCAAGGTGCAGACAAAGTGCCGCCTAAGGAGTGAGAAGCAAAGCAGCCTGTCTGCAGTCGCAGCAGTTTCTACCCTCGGGAAAGGTGCTCTATGACACAAGAGAGGGGAAGTGATGCAAGGCTGGAAAGGGAAGCAAGCACAAATATCCAGGATGGTGACAAATGGAAGTCTGGCAGGTCGTATAGGAACTGAGGGATATTATTCTTAGATGGAAATGAAAGTTTTGTGAGTGTCTGATATACCTTGCCAGGAAGAAAAGTGAAAGTGCTAACTACTTAAAATGTAAAACTGAAACCTACAGAAAGTGATAGTTCCATAGAAATACTGTCTAAGGTATTTGGAGTACTGGAGTAAAATGAAAATGAAACAACTGCTGCTGGTATTACTTTAAAACCAGTCATAAAGACTGGCATGCACGGTCTCCTTTCTTCTTCTTGCCAGTAAAGCAACCTCTAGAGACTGTTATGTGACAACACGCTGTCCACCGCAACATCACAGGGCTGCTTAGAAACACCACTATTCTGTAATCACATTTCTACATCCTACCTGACTTGGTGCACAATGCTTAGTTAGAAATTTTCAGCATCTCCAAAGAAATCCTACGGTAAATGCTTTCCCTAATTATGACTTAATGTCACAGTCTTTAAAATTGGTCATGTTCTTTAAAAAAATACACTGCCATTTCCAACCACTTCCAAAGATGTCTTCCATTTCTGAAGGCTGCATTCTATTTGCAAGTTTAGTACAACAGAAAAATTATCTAAAGCATCTTACCATGTCCACCAAGGCCACATAGAGGAACATGCCTGCTGTGATTGCGAAGATCCAGAGTGTGATGTTATTGGCATACTGACCCACAGCTGTGCCGATGAGCATTCCTATGTAAGCCATCATGGCAGAGAGGAGATTGTACACAATTGCTTGCTTTACAGTCATGCCCGCCTTCAGAAGAACTGCAAAATCACCTGCAATTCAGACACCATGGGAGAGTTTAAAACCACAGGATTTGAAAGCACACCTTTGAGTGGAAAAAACTATCAATAAAAAGTTAAGAATGCATTATAAAAACACATCATTACCAACACAGTAGAGCAAAAGCTGTCAAGGTGATACAATTGTTCTACATAAGTCTATATGCATGCGAACTGCCAAGCAACTGTATATACAGAGCCAGTTTAAAAGCTAGCTGTAGCACATGCCTTTCTTCAATCGAAGCACTTGAGAAGCAGAGGCAGAGTGGACCTTTGAGTTTGAAAACAGCTGGCCTACAGATCAAGTTCCAAGCAAGACAGCCAGGACTACACAGAGAAACCCTGTCTCAAAAACAGCAAAAACAATAAAAATGAGAAAATAAATATACCCATGCCCTTTTTAAAGTAACAATCAAGAGTTCATTTGTACTCTTCAATGGAAAATGGCCAAAGTTGGAAGAGCAGTCAAAGCCTTTTAAAGTATATGTTATGCTATGTATACATTTTCCCCAGAAACTACAATAAAGACTTTATGAAAACCCCAAGATATAAGGAAAGTAAAGAGTTTTCCCCCAGCATTTTCCATGTGTTCATGATAGTACATATGAGTGCCAAGCTGAGCTATAAAGAGCATCCACAATATTGCAAAGAGAGCAGATACACAAGAAGAATCCTGGGGCTATTTTTCTAGAGATCTAAGTACATACAAGTTTAACAGACAGCAACAAGAACAAAAAGAGAACAGTAAGAAGGAAGCTGTTTTTTTCTTCATCTAACACCGAACACTGGGGAAAGCAGTTAATTATTACTCACAGAGATGCCAACAGAATAGGCAAATGCTGCTGGACATAAGACTATTGAAGCTGAAGGGTCCAAGGTGTAGCTTTACTTACTGTAACTGTTTTCTTTGTTCTAGTTATTAAATATAAAGCATCCAACCAAGCAATTAACAGTGTATGGACAGTGTTATATAGACGACTGACGGGGCTCTGTTCTGTCCTTAAGACTCTTAAGATCTATGCATCTAAACATGTATGCTCTGACACTCTCATGGCTACAATGTTCTCATCTATAGCAAATAGAAGCTAACAAAAGAGAAACTGCTTCAAAGTATTTTTTTCATATTCCAATAAACTGCTATTAACTACAAGAAGCAGTATTTTTCAATTATTTATATTTAGTTGAAAAGTAAAAGTTCTTCCAATGTCTTCAACACTGCCACTCTCTAGTTTCTACCTAATACTATTTTCCCTTTATACCTTCTCTACCTTAGCTCCTAAGTTATTTGTCCAAGGGTTACATGGAGCAAAAGCAAGTTGGGGAGGAAAGGGTTTCTTCGGCTTTCATAACCAGTCTCAGACCACTTAGAGGAGTCAGGGCAGGAATGCAAACTAGGTGTGGGTGATGACCTGGAGGCAGGGGCGGACGCATAGGTTCAAGGAGAGTGCTGCTTACTGGCTGGCTGTGCGACATGGCGTGCACAGCCTGCTTCCTAATACAACTTGGGACACCTGGCCAGGTGTGGCATCACCCGAAACGGAGTGTGTCCTCCCGCACCAGAAGCAGGCTGATCTCTAGAGTCTGAGGTCAGGCTGGTCTACAGAGCCAGTTCCAGGACAGCCAGAGCTGCTGGAGAAACCCTGTCTTAAAAAGAAAAAGAAAAAGAAAAAAGAAAAAAAGAACAGAAAATGCCCTATAGCCAGATTTCACAGAGGCATTTTCTCAACTGGGGTTCCCTCTTCTCAAATGACCATAGCTCATGTCAACTGACATAAAATTAGCCAGTCTTGGTTCTCCTGCAGAGCGTTGCACCTGAACATTCTATATCGAAGCATCATTTGCTGAATCCTATCTGTGCAGAATTTTCTTTGTACCTTTGTTTGAAAAAAAAAAAAAAAAGTCTTCCATATATATGGAGACATTAAGCCATGCTTCAGTGATTTACATGTCTGTCCTTTTCTCAATACCACTGTTTCAGTAGGTAGCTAAAACAAGTTTCAAATCAATTTGTTGTGATTTGCCAAAATTTCCTAGATGCCACACTGTTTCCTTTTCACATGAAAGTTTTTAAAAACCTCATTAATCTCTATAAATGAGCCTGCTGTTGTTATGACTGCTAGAAATCTAAAGGAAAAAAGAGAACACAACCATGAATCTTGTAGTCCATAGGCCACCGTGACTTCTGTTGGTAACAGGGAGCTTCCAGTCCAGACTGCATGTGTCCTGTTAGCTGTAAGCTAAGCACAGGTCGGGCAGTCTTACAGACTGCATAGAGTGAAACATCTCACTCAGAACTCTGTTCTAGTCTTTCCCCAGGCCAGAAAGCCTCTGAAGTTTGACAAATTTACACCACTTTCCTCCTCAGAAAGAGGCTATGTATTTTTACTAAGTCAAAGGGTATTAGACAAAGCATGTGAATCTTCACGAGATAAATCAGTATTCCTTTGTTCCTGCTGACAAAAGATATTAATTCACACAACAAACGAGGCAGCCAAAGCTGTCAATAAATGGGTTAAAAAATTTGGTTACTAACAATAATCACTGAGATTTTTTAAGAGTTTATTTTGATGTCCTTTATTCTTTATTATTGTATATTTAAATTTTCTATGGGCTAGAAAGACAGCTCAGCAGTTAAGAACACCGGGTGCTCTTCTACAGTACTTGGGTTTGATTCCCAGAATCCACAAGGTGGTTCACAACCATCTGTAACTCCAGAGTCAGAGGATCCAAAACCCTCTTTGACCTCCTTGGGAACTAGATATGCAAAATAATACACAAAAATACAATGCAGGCAAAACGCCTACACATAAAAATGAATAAAAACTAAAAGAAAATTCTACATAAATTTATATAGTGAATGGTCAGCTTTCTTTTGACAATTAAGCAAGTTACAGAGAACTGATTCTGAATTAAGTTTAATCTCTGATATACTCGAAGTAGATGGGAAAATGGACTATACCTTATCTGAGCTGAGTCCAAAAGTATGACTTATTTCTCAAATGTGATTTTCTTGATGCCAAAACACACTACTCAGAATCAGAAAGGGAGCTTTGGCCAGACACAGTGGTACCTGGGAGGTGGGGTGGGTCTGACGCAAGTTTCAGATCAGCGCCATTTACACAGAAAGGGCCAGCCCTGCCAGGGCTACCCGGTGGGATCCCATCTCAACAAAACAAATCCCCAGACCTCTGCTTTTAGAAAATATAAAAACAAGTATAAAATAAACATAGACGATGGTTATCCATAATGAGAGGAAAGTTGACGTTAACAGGAAAATAAGGACTGAAAAAAAGTTTGGATCCTGGGATTATAGTACACAACCACAAGCAAGAAAACATTAAAAAATAGAAAGGAAAAAACAAAAAACAAAAAAGGCCTTCAAACTATTTGAGGGTTCTACTTTATTTAAAAAACATAATTCTAGAATAACACAAACACATGAAATCGTCCAAACATCTAACTTTATGGCTGAAAAAAGAAAGAATTAGAAGTTAAGGATTACTCCAAACCCTTCGCGTTCCTTAGTGACAGCCAGGACCACTTCCAGCTCTCTAAAGACCATGCACATACCCAAGTCTCTTTAACCAACATTCTGTTTACTATTTGAATAACAATGTGATCTCTCCATCAGCTGTGAGGAATATCTTATGTTCCCCTGGTTCAATTTTCAATTATATAATAGCAAACATTAAGAACATCATGTACACGACAGATGAAAATGAAAAAGGCTTAATACCATAATCAGGGATTTGAGAAATGATACTTCCTTTTAATTTATGATCACCAACTTAGTCATGTACAACCTTTCCTAACAGTATCACATGAGCACTGACACAGGGAGCAGGTACCTTCAGTCTTATATTGGGATATGCCTGGCTACTGACGGCATTCTACACTTGTCAGCAGATTTTCCGTCTTAACATCTTGGCGGTTTATTGTATTTTACGACTGAGAAAAGCCTAGATTGGAGGGAAAGGCGGTGAGGCTTTTGAGGCTCATACCTAATTCATGTGGTAGTTCATGACAGAAGACGGCTATGGAGGTGCTGATCCCTCCAGTCAGTCCAGCACTGAAAGCGGCCCCTGGAGAAGATGAACACAGACAACAGTACGTGAGCTTCAGGCCTCCTGCTTCTTCCACTCTTGTTAGTGAGATGTTCCTTCTATCTAAACTACTTTCAGGGTACATGTAACTCACCCATCTCACACATCTTGGCTTTTAAATATACATCAGTGTATAAGAGCTTATCCCACTGGGAAAAGTCTGTATTTAGTATCAATATCTGCTACAATTATAAAAAAAAAAAAATATGGCTTCTGCTTCAGAAATGATCAATAAAATCTACATGCCAAAGAGAATCTTGTCCTGTTGATATTAATGTTCTAAATTAGTCATTAGTTTACATCACAGCAGCAGCATCCGAAGTTCACATATGTTCTAATGTGTGTGAATTTGCTATGGTGGCTTTTAATGTGAAACTTGTCTTCACTTTTCCAAAGCTGTGAAAACTTTATTAAATCCAAGACTGAAATTACACTGGTCTCTTGTAGCTGTGTCTACATATTTGAAATATGATGTTAAGGTAGTAGTTTCAGTAAGGTGACTGCACTTTAATGAGAAAGCAAGTTATTTAAGAAATATACTACAGACAATTGTTTAGCTTCAGAGAACCAAAAACTACTAAAATGTCTTTTTTTTTTTTTTTACTTCCATATACCATATCCTTTAGAGAAAAATAAATGGCAGTAATGTATTTAAAAACTGTGGGTATATTTTCACCTTATGAACTCAGTAGAAAAAGAAAAGCGTGCTTAAAGAGCAATTGCAACCCTGGCTTCAGGATACTCACCAATGGCTAGCCCGTCACTGAAGTTGTGGATGCCATCTCCCATGATCACCATCCAGGCTATATTGGCTATTCCTGTTTCTTTCAGGTCTGAGCCAGAGTGGCAGGGGCCGTGCGAATGATGGGCGTGTCTGTGGTGCCACTGGTGGCTGTGCTTCCTCAGCACAGCCTTCTCCTTGTCGTGGTGGTTATGTGCAGTCACATGGATCTCGTGCTCATGAATGGTGTGCAGTCCATCACTGTGAGAATGATCCATGGTTTTCTCCTCCTCCACACTCAGGGAATTTTTAGGAGGGGATTCTTGTTGGCCTTCTATATCTGTCAGTTCAGTCTCGTTAAGTCGATCTTCAGAAACTACTGAGTCATCCGTTCCTACATTAGAATAAAGGATATGCTCATCTAGCAAATGCATTTGTATGTGTTAATCTAAACTGGGCAAAACAGGTTTACCTGTTAACAGATGAACACCACTTAAGTGAATATATCTCCCTAAAGTATTTTAAAAGTCACTCCATCAGAATAATTTTTCTAAAGTCTATCAGCTAAAATCTAAATAACTTGCCCAAGTCAGTTAACTGATGGCAAAGTTCTCTACATGCTCCACCAATGACAACACCCCTCAGAGATCTCTACCGGATGTTCTGGCCACATCCCTTTTAAAGATTATTTCTAGTAAAGACCTGGATAATTCCCAACTGTCTTCTGGGAGAGTTCCACAGCTAGGAAAGGGTGCCATCTATGCTGAAAACCTGACACATTGTGGGGAAAGAGAAAAACATAGGTTAAGAAATCTTTACTTTTTCTCTGAAAACTGTCTGAGATGCATTGATCTGTTAGATAACAGAACGTGAGTTTTAAATACAAGGGCAAGCCATTCTCCTTTAACTACAGGGGCAACTTTTCATTTTCCTTCTATAACCAATTACGTATGAAGGAAACTGTATACTGTGAAGAAACAGTACCCGCCACTGCGCATGGTAATCCATGCCTGTGATCCCAGAACTGGGAAGGCTGACACAGGGGCTGGAGAGTTCTAACACTGACTCAGAAGACTGCCTCATTCTGTGTTCTGGGTTTGATACAGAGTGGTCTTGCTAAGTGGCCTAGGCTGCCTCAGCCTCCTAGATGCTGAGATTATGGGTGAGTGCCATCATGCCTGACCTTTCTTTTATTTCAGTCATGTATTTTTAAACTAAGAAGTGGCAATTTTTCACTGTTCATAATGTATCTGAACAACACTGGAGTTGACTAAAGTAAACAAATACAGGATACACTCGCATTTAAGGAAGAACACATTAGGAAAAGTACAAAGAAAAGAAATTTCAAACACCCTGCATAGAAACGATTTTAAGTTTCTCATTGGAATAGTTGGCTACCGGCAAGGGGCTTGAGTTGCAGCCAATCAGCATCTGGTGTGCTGTTTAACTTATGATCTGAAAGCTTTCTTCCAATAGTTGATTCTTCTGTGCTCTGCTTCATAAACCATTTCTGTTTTCCCTGTTGGGGGGATATGATATTAGTATAAAATATGCAGCAGTAACTAGTAACAATATAGCCACATTAAGCCCCACTGGAGGCAATTGATGCTAACAGTAACATAGCTTATTGTGTCTTAAATTTATCATTACATCCTTATTTAATGTAAGTCTATGTGGGCACATATGTGCATGTGCACGTTTACATGCATGCTATAATATATGTGTGGAGGTTAGAGGACAAGCTGGGGGACTCTTTCCTTCTACCATATGAATCCTGGGTATAGTTCTTGGGCTGGGCTACAAGCTCCTTTACCCACTGACCTATCTCACTGGCTCAATTTGTCTACTTTTAGAGTGTAGAGAAATTGTAGCTAGCAAGGTACTAAACTATTATGCAATCCAAATGAAAATATGTGAAAATACTGTGTGTAATACTTCTGTAACATGATAAAGTAGCAAAAATAGAATCTCTCACTTCTCTGGATATAGCATGACTGAAAGGGTCAAACCTAAGCTAGAATTCTCAACCTCTAGCTTGCTTCTGAGATGTGCAAGGCTAAGTTTATTAACACAAAATAGGAAACAACTCACCTACAAAACGGAAGCAATCTTGTGAGGATCAAGTAAGGAAACATGCAACAATCACCAATTCTTAAGTGTGCCAATAAAAGCAGCCATTCTTCCTTGTGACTTTGTAAGCAGGCACTGAACATACTCTGATCCTCAACTATTTCATGTATTAATTGCTGCCCAGCTAGCCTTGGAATCTTCCCTCTTCACGTAGCAGTATGCTTTTTGTTACTTAATTTTGTCACTAACTACCACTATTAACACCTCTTCCCATTAACATTTCTGGTTTTCTCAAATGCTGACTTAAGGAAGCATTTACTCCACTGGAGTGAAAATGAGCTCATCCCTGGGCTGTGCTTACTGCCTGCCATGGCTGCTTTCAGTCTCCAAAGATAGGCACTGGCCAATTCCCCCTCCCTTGGGTGAGCACCCTGCTGACCTGTAAGGACACGGTCTACCCTAGGCTGAGAGCTGTGACTGGCCTTGACCAACAGAGTGCAGCGGACCCTGTAACACAGTTTTACTCTAGTCTTGTGTGGACTTGCACGCATAGGTGTGCTTATGCGGGTGCCTATCTGTAGAGGCCAGAGGAGGCCAGAGGTCCGTCCCAGGCATTGTTCCTCAGGAGCATCCACCTAGCGTTTTCTATTCTTTTGACACTGGGTCTTCCACCGGCCAGGAACTTGCCTATTAGGCTAGCCTGGTGGGACTACGGCTTTTTCCGCCATGTCCAGCTTGTGCGAGGGTTGGAGAGACTGAACTTGGCTTCTGTTCTTACCAAGCACTTGACTGGCTGTGGTGTCTTCCAAGTGCTTTGTGCTACTTTCCTTATGAATGAGCGTCCTTTTCTTCTAAAACACAGTAATTTCACATATTAATGGAGTTCAGTTTGGTATTTCAAAACATGCACTGTGTGTACTGATTAAAGCAGGGTAATTAATATTTTTCCCTCTTTATCATTTATGGATGATTAAAAGTCTTTGTGATCCCCTCTTCATAAACTATACACTACATTATTCTTAACTACAGTTGTCACTAGGTTCCATGACACACTGGAATGTATTCTTTCTGAGTTGTGGTTTAGGTTTTCTTAACTTTTGTCTTCCCAACCTCTGGAAACCACTATTCTACATGCAAGTGACAGCTGTCGGTATAAATATATGAGAGTGTGCAGTATTTGCCTTGCTGGGTTTGGCTTATTTTACTTATTGCATTTTCTAGTCCTATGTGTGTTGGTAAGATTTCACTTTTCCAAGCTGATTTTGTCTCAAGGGGATACATACAAAAATGTGTGTGTGAATGAACAATCACAAATAAACAAAATTATGATTACCCAGAGTACTGGAAAAAAATATATTTAAAATTAACAAGATAGAAGAAAATTGTAACTCTTGTAAGGAGTAAAATTTTACTTAAATATAACACATCGGGACTATCTGTATGTCACTACCTCAAACATACCACTGACTGACTTGTAAGCTGTTCAGGCCACTGTGAACCAACATGAACAGAGTTAACCACAGCGAATAGTACCAATTTTCTGGGGCGTTAAATAGTACCAATTTTCATATGTGAAACATCAGACACAGATAGCTACATGAAAATCAAGGTTGCTGAGCCATCTTCTCCCAAGTAGGGTATCATTATTAAGAAAGACTGCTTCCATTATTTCCCGCTCATCATTTTCCTACTGTCTTTGAAGTGAGCCCTATTATCCTGAGCCCTTCTTCCCTTTGGTACTTCTACTACCAGTGAGGTAGTTCAGATAAATAAAGTGTTATATGAAATAGTTCATTGTAAGATAATACAATGAAAGTCACTTAAAACTGTAAAAGACAACTGATAGGATCTGTTTCCATTTATACACACTTATTAAAAAAACTGGTCAATAGCTTTTCCCACTCTACTTAAATCACTAGGTCTGATGAAACACAAGCTATCTCAGACACTGCTGTTCCTCGATTAGAAATGCTAAAGTAAATGTAATGACAAAAAGTAACAAAGATCAGAGGCAAGGAAAAAAAAAAAAGGATAGAGATGGAATACATACCAAGATCATAATTAAGAGAAACTGTGTGTTCAGAAAGAGATGCTTTTTACTTACACCTGTACCTAAAAAACAAACATGTGAAAAGCACTTACTCTCTGCTGCTTGTAGTGCTTAAACATTCGGATGCAGTGTTCAATGATGAACAGCAAGTAAATGCCTCCTAGTGCAACAAGTCCCTTCAGCACAGCATCGTACTCCTCCAAAAACTTCTCAGACTCATGCTCATGTGAATGACCATGTCCGTGTGAGTGCTGATGACTGTGGTCATGTCCACCTTGAGACTATTACATAATGAAGAATAGAACTGAAATCATTTCAAATTTTGACTATAACACCTTATAGAAAGATTATCTTCTAGTTTTTACTCTAATTTTAAACTTTTTATTGGTACATAAAAATTGTACAGACTTATTGGGTTACTTGACTATTTTGATACATGCATGTATTATATAATGTTCAAGTCATAATAAATTTCTTAAACATTTATCATTTCTTTATGGTGAAAAAAAAACACCTGGTGTCCTCTCTCTCTCTCTCTCTCTCTCTCTCTCACACACACACACACACACACACACACACACACACACACACACACATCTCCTTACCTATACTAGAGTCCACCTATCTTCACTTTACCCTCATCTACAGTCATTCTACTATGCTATGGGACAGCAGAACTTACATCTCCCAGCTAACTGAGGAAACATGAGACAACCTTCCCCTCCCCCTCCTGCCCTTCACTTTCCTCTAATTTGACCTTTTACAGGATCAAAGTTTCAGATCCCACACATGACCTATGAATCTCAAAGTGCTTCACTGATATTATAAGACAGAGAGTTGCCTTATGGTTAATTTCCTTGGCTTATTGCCTGGAAATATTATACTGCATGATTAAACAAATGCCTCTAAGGGTTAGAAAAATTAATGAATGAAGCCAAAAGAAACAATAAACAGTATTGAATCCTTTGTAAACATAAATTAGTATCATTTAAACCACAAATACTTAGTAACAAATCTCTGACTGATCCAAAGGAGTTCCCCACTGTGCCCTCCTGGCTAGAGCACAACCACTGCAACATTTCTCCTAGTGGTTTTCCTAGTGTATAGAAAGATCAGATGACCTATCCCTCCTGGTCCCGTTTAAAACCCAATGATTCAATTTATTTGAAAATACTGCAATTACAACTGTGAAAATTAGAAAAACTTCAACCTGTAAGAACATACAATTACATGAATTGTATTACCATGGTGTGCTCCTCAAGAACACTCAACACTGTATCTTTCTGTGTAACGTTCAGCATTAAAAGGATTTCTTACATGGGGCAGCAGGTGAAGAAGGGCGTCTCCACTCATTGTTCCTACAGCTAGTGCAACAAGGAGCGTGAGAAGGAATTTGAAGCATCCTTGGTTGATGATGGGAACCAAAATCACACCCAGCAAGGAAAGCAGGCTAATGACAGTGATAGAAATGATGCCACAGATCCACGCTGCAGGGAAATAGTCAGCGTTAGTCCAACAGCACAGAGGGACGTTCTAAAGAACAAATAGGAGATAGGCAAGTCCAGGAGACACATCATCTTACCTAGACCATATATAAGAAACTTTATGACATCACTGAGCTTCAAAGCAGAAGAGCCAATATGAACACCTAAAGAAACTGAGATCAAGTCACACACAGTGCCCACCAGTCTACACTAGATGTTACTTCAAATGCTATTAGCCACTACCCAAACAATAATGCTTCTTTTCACCATTTACAAGCAGAGCACAAATAAGTTATCTAACAATATAGTTATAAAAATCTCCTGTATCAAGTGAAGCATTTATTTATTATATCACAATTGAAAGTTTTGCTAACACAATGTTTTAAAAATTTAATAAATCTGCTGCAAATGGAAGTATATTCACATGCTCAACAAAACAGTATCACTACCTGTAGTAGCTTTACTGTTAGAAGTAATTATCTCGGCTAGGTGTGAGAGCATATTCTTGTAATCTTTGCTACTCAAGAGGCTGAGGTGAGAGAACTGCAAGTTCAAATCTAGACTTAGCAATTTAGCAAGACCTTATAATAGTAAAATAAAAATGGTGGGAAAATATGTTAGTGGTATTTGTCAGCATACATGAGGACCTGTATTGCAAAAGCATGTACATGAGTGTAGAAATGATGCTAAGATGTGCAGTAATGCTCAACTTTACCAAAACAATTGCATTCATCTATTGTGCATGGTAGTCAGCATTCCATGACATGAATCAGTGGACACAGTCAAAATGACAGTAATTCCTCATTTGCTAAATTAGCTAACAGAACTAATACAATAGGCCACTTATCACTAGTGGCCTACTGTGTGCCTTACTCCCTAACAGATAACCACTCTCAGATAACAACGGGAAAGTGAGATGACCAAAGACCAAAGCATAAAAATACCATAGGGATGAGGTCATGACACTAGACAGATTCAAATTTCCAATTCTTGCAGACACTTTGAAGCTATAAAGGAAGAAAAACCTAGTGCCTTTCCAAAAATCTTAGGTCAGAGAAACATTACAGAAGCAACATGGTTGCTGAAACACCATTTAAAAGGAGATCCTCCATCTGATGTTATTCTAGGACATCAAGGACAGTCCCAGGTTAAAAGCTAATTTAATAATGATAACAAAGCCACTGTACCAATTCACTGGTGATAACAATGAAATCTATGAAAGTGCCTGGCAGTTTTGAGGGGTCAGAGAAGGGGCCTAAATTAATTTTACACCAGGTGTTAAATTGTTAGTTACCTAACAAAGTAGCTAATCCAACAAACATTTGTTAAAACTACAAAGCTCTCTCTAGCTTTAATCATATCCATGGGATAGGGAAAGATTAAAGAAAAACTTTACTTTTGATTAAATGGTAGAAAGCAATGTTAATAACAAAAACATCATGGAGTCAAAAATGTCTTCTACAGTAATGCCTGACTTCCCCTTTCCAAATACATTAGCATTCTTAGCTGGCAATCTAGAAGCAATTTATCTCAAAACAGTGACTGCAAAAAAACTTCAATAAAGAATTTGAAGGGAGAAGCAGTAATCTAATTGGGAAAACAAATAATCTATATTCTAAAACCCTATGTAAGGTAGTGAATGTATTGTAAGTGTATATCCTTACTAATGTAAATGTGAGGGTTAATACTGTCAACATATGACCCAATGTATATAATATACCAAGTAAACCACCTTGATAGTGCTAACTTCCTAATTGTCAGAAATGTACATTAATCAGATTTATTCTAAACAAAAAAATCATGATTATTAAAACTACTTAATAACAGTATTTTATTTCTATGCCACAATGTCCAAGAAAATTCACACATAAAAGTAAAGATGCTAAGTTAAAGTTCATTACTTACAGAAACAATCTAGTTGGGTAAGTTTGTTATCCATGTTTTTTTTTTTTTTTTTTTTTTTCCTTAGGTTACCTTCTACATATTACATTCTATGTGTTCACTTTGGACTATGAAGATGTTTGTAAAAGAAAAAAAATTCTAAATTTTAATTTATAGAAAATGACATTTATTTAATGTATTATAAATTTGAGATAATTAACCATTCACACAATGTGACACAGAAAATTAATAAAATATTAGCATTGGAAGCATATTTAAATTTTAAACATAACATTTTGAAATTTCAGGCCATATTAAAATAGCATATATATTAACTAGCATATTAAAAAAAAATCTACTCAGAGACTTGAGGTAAATAAAGTGTAATGGCAAAGCACTAAGCATTCATCAGGCCCTAAGTTTAAACCTAGTATGAAGAAAAAATAAAAAAATAAAAACACTACCTAAGCAATAAACTTAAAAGGAATATTATCTTAAGCAAATATTTCTAAAATCCTCATGTTAACATCTGCCTTGGAGTATCTAGGATATGAAAAAGGTCTAAGAAACATTCTGTTAATTCACAAAAATTGTAATGTTCTGCAATGACAATTTGAAATTGTTGGTCAGCTAGCCAAAGGCTAAGTAGTCAAAGTCATAAAACCTAACTCAATAAAAGTCAAATTTTCAATATGCTAATGGATGCAGTACATATACTATAAATGAGAATCAGCCACCAGAGAGTAACACACACAAATAATCATGTACATCTGGGGAGTTGTGTGAGTTCATATGTAATATATATGATAATTACATCTCTTTCCCTCCAGAAAGAAAATCTGGTCTAAGAGGAAAAAATGGTTTAAAAAAGAAAATCTCAGCCAGGTGTGGTGGTGAACCCCTATAATCCAAGCACTCAGGGAGGCAGGGACAGGTAGAACACTGTGAGTTCAAGGTAGCCTGAACTCACAAAGAGTCTACAAAGAGTCTAGGACAGCCAAGGCTACTACTTCGAAAAACCAAAAAGAGGAAAGCTCACTTATATGGATACAACCTAGAACCCCTGCTCAAATGTAGCCCATGGTAGCTCAGTATCCAAGTGGGCTCCTTAGGAAGGGTAACAGGGACTATTTCTGATATGAACTCAATGGCTGGCTCTTTGACCTCCTCCCCCGACCCTCCCAGGGAGGAGCAGCCTTGCTAGGCCACAGAGGAGGACATGGAAGCCAGTCCTGAAGATACCTGATAAACTAGGGTCAGATGGAAGGAGAGGAGGACTATCAGTGGACTTGGAAAGGGGCAGGGAGGAGATGAGGAAGGGAGGGTGGGCTCGAGAGGGAATGAGGGAGGGGGCTACAGCTGGGATACAAAGTAAATAACCTTTGATTTAATATAAAAAATAAAAATTATTTTAAAAAAAGAAAATCGTTTGCACATGAGATATGACACCTGAAAGTCAAGAAGTATAATATCACAAAGTAAAAAGGCATTCCATAAATCACTCCAGAGTCATGACTTCCCAATCTAAAGGGTACTATCCCCACCGTACCTCAAAGGGTACAACATCTACCCAGACTAACTCAATAATACCGCTGAAGCTGATGAAAGAAAAGATTATGCTGAAAGCTGTTCCTTTGAATGACATGTTAATACAAAACTCAAATCCACTAAAAATTATTCAGAGGTTTTGGTGGCTTTCTGCTTATATGGAAAATGTTTATCAATTACCTAATCATTGACTACCAACTGAAATTTAAAATAAAAGATCTGAATAAATAAAATTAAAATTATATGTAACTTTGAACATTTATTTACCATTTTAAAAGTTTCTATTTCTTCAATTAGGAAAATATATAGTATGCTTCTATATAAATATTTTAGAGGGTATCTTCAAAAGACTATTTTTTGTTTGTGTTTTTGAAAAAGGGTTTCACTATACAGCCTTAGCTAGTTTGGAACTCTCACAGATCTGCTGCCTGGGCCTCTAGAGAGCTGAGAGTAAAGGAACCATATCCAACTAACAAAATCTTTACCAACTGTAGAGTGAAAACAAGTTTCAATTGGCTAACTCTCTGGTGAGGCAATTAATGGCATGGGACAACACCATGGCTTATCTCTTTCATATAAACCTTGTCTTTGCTTGACAACAATGGAGATGAAAACATCTGCTGACAAGGGTATGGAGAAATTAGAATTTTTGCATACTAATGGAAGACAAACACTGTAACCAGTGTGGAGAACTGTTTGGCAATTCCTCAAAAAGCTAAATACAGATAAGCCGTACAAACCAGGAATTCAGGAATTCATGTTTATGTATATCCATTCTCACCATAACTGGTCAGGGCCCGAACTATTATTAACAGGTCGACACACACAATGGAACTCCATTAAAATGAATGCAGCCTAAAAACATTATAAAATAGGCCAGATAAGAACCCCAAATACTGCCTAATTCTGTTTATATGATGTATCTAGAACAGTTAAAATTTGTAAAAAGAAAGTAAATTTGATCTTATCATGGGCTGGAAGAAGTGAAAATGTGAAGTTAATGCTTAATGGTTATTTATGTAGGGTGATAAAAGTTTTAAATAATAGTGGTTGGAATATAATAATGTAAAAATGAATTACATAGTTAAAACACGTTAAAGGGGCATTCTGGGAAGACAGAAGAGTAGAAAAGACAAGGAATCGGTCCCCATAACACTGGCAAGATCTCTGATCTACTACTTTGAAGCTCTGTTGTCTTCATAATGCATCTATTTTTAAGGGAAGACTTGATGGCACAATGTGGTTTAGTTGATCAATGTGAGCTCTTAGAGCTGTGGTGGCCACTTATCCCCCACCCCTTGCTGCTCAGCATGCTGACATGGTATATCCTGACAAGGTACACACTCAAATAACCTACCCAAAGCATACACAAGGTGGGCAAAAAGAAAACCCAACATTAGAGATCTGTAGCCACTGTCTGTGATCACAGAGTTCACACAAAAAGACAAATGGTCACTGTTACACCTCCTCATCGTTGCCAGCAGCATTCCTCAAGGACTTAGGTATTGTTATGAGTCTGTTTAATACCAATGAATTGTACACGTAATAACTAAGATCAAGGTGTTCTATTTTATGTTAACATTAAAAAGGGAAGAAAAAATTTTCCATTTTATTGGCTTAACTTTTAAAAGTTGTAATAAAATATCTACCATAAAATTAGCAATTTTAAAAAGTCAAATTAAACATGGAGCCAGAGTAGTGGAGCACACCTTTAATGCCATCACTTGGAGAGGCAGGCGGATCTCTATGCATTCCAGCCCAGCCTGGTCTACAAAGAGAGTCCAGGACAGCTAAGGCTACACAGTGAAAACCCACAAACAAACAAAAGAACCAAACAAAAGAAAAGTAAACATAGGAGCTGAGGAGTTGCCTCAGAAGCACAAAATTGCAGAGGATAGGCAAGGCTGGCTAGAACATGGTCAGAGATGGGATGGTGAGAAGACGACTAACCCCGTCCTCTAACTTTTACATACTGTTCCCTTCATACATCTCAGCCAAGGGTTTTACATATCACTGTGTTTTACTTACTAAAGGAGGCTACAAATAAAAAAAGATGATAGGTAAGAAAAATTAAGCATAATTATGTCTGAAAGAAGAAATGTTAACTGTTAATTTAAATGACAGCCTTTGAATTTTGAGCTAATTATGATAAAGATGAAGACATATGTAACTTCATAAAATATCACAATGCACCCACACTTACTTCAAGGCTACTAGACATAAGCAGTAACATTAACAATCTAACTACCACAAATTATCATGTGTCTGACAGTCTAAGAAATAATTAAGTCAGACAGGGGCTAGAAAATTGGCTCAGTGCCTGAAGCACTTGCTCTTGTCGAGGAGGACCTGGTTCAATTCCTAGCACCCACATGCTGGTTCTCAACCATCTGGAACGTTCTAGGGGGATTCGGCGCCCTATTTTGGCCTCTGAGGGCACGAGGCATGCACATGGGTACACACACACACACACATATATATATATATATATATATATATATATATATATATGTAGGCAAAACACTCATTCACACTTAAAAAAGAAAGAAATAAAAAATGAGAGCACCCTTCTACAGATGACAACTATTCCTAACAACTGTTTCATTAACAGAACCAGAACAACCATTCCCAAGTATGTGTACTAATACAAACTTCCTCTTTTAATTATTTCCAGAAAACAATCTCAGTTCTTTACTACTATAAATTTGAGTGTACTTTTTCTAGCCACTTAGTAATCTTTCTCACAAAAAAACAATTCTTTTGACCTATATTCAGTTTTGAATATGCTGTATTTAGAAATACCTCTCTAGGTTGTTCACTGACTTTCAGCTTACATAAGATCCCAAGTTTCTAAATACACGAGAGAAAGAGGCAAAGCAATTTTTTTCTATTTCTAACCAAACTACTGTGCATTTCTAATCACAATGTATTTGGTATGAAACAAAGTAAAGCACAGCTGGGAAGGCATCTTTCAGAGAACTCATACCTGACAGGCAATATGAAAACTATTAAGTACAACTAGCAAATGTTTTCTTTATTTGTACCCAAGATATCATATGTAATAAAAAGAACTAAGTGTCTGAAGCAAGCTTCACTTATTCCGCAAATTAGGTTGCTTAAAACGTTAAAGGTCTTCATGCTTAGTTATTCACCAACTCCTTTCCTCATTACCAGGAGAGAAAATGCATTCTTTTAAAAAGAAGCGCTCATCTGTGGAAACTTTCTAATTAACTTGGTGCAAAGCATGTGCAAGATGGCAGTTTTCTACACTATTTCAGCATTTTAATTGGCAGAAAATGCTTAGCAGCCTATTCACGACCCCCCGGTAATTAAGCTAGGGCCAACTCTATGACTAGATGAGCCAATCTTGTGAAACAAACGATTTCTACCATGCATACTATTCAGGGTATTTGGTTTACAGCAGTCTTTGAACAAAGTTAATGAGGTAGTAGCTGAGTCACTATGGGAGATTTATATAAAACAAGTTAACCTTTCTTAATGGTGCAGTAGTCATTAAAAATAATTACTAGCGGGGCATTCTCTCTAACAATTATTAACATCTATCAGGACATAATTAATTCAAGCTGCATTTCTGACAATGCTAAAAAACCACCTGCAAACAACTAATCAATATTCACTATTTGTAACATACTTGTTTTCAAAGCAAGCACAATTTCCTCTAAGGCTTTCAAATTGAATAAGCTGTAACTTCCAGTATTACTAGTTACATAGCTGTCGACAGCTTTATTTCAATATATGGATTATGGCAATATTACAACATAAACAACACTAATTAAAAGGCCTAATCTACCACTGGCATACAAACAAAGAACTGGAATTGTTTTTAGAATCCTTCAAAATAAAAACACTATTAATTTTAACTTTAGATGAAACAATCATTAGTTTCCATTTCTCCCTGTACAGAAAAAATACATTTTATTTTCAATTAAGCTTAATCTCTGATTTTCTTTCTGTGGCGGTAAGGACAGTCACTCAGATGAATGAGGTTAAGAAAGAAGACAAAATATATCTTTTCCACCAGGAATGTTTAAATTTAATTGTGGACTCAGTCTGTCTCTACTCTTCTTACATGGGTTAAGGAGCCTGAGGATTTTCCTTCTCTCCCCTTTCTTAAAGGTGTCTCACCATGTAGACCACGCCGGCTTTGGATCCAGTCACCTGTGTCTGCCTTCTAAGGTCTCTGATTACAGGCCTGTGTACAACATCCAGTTCTTTAGCCCATTCTTGAGGATGTTTCTCAGCAACTGATCAACACTTAGAAGCACAGTTACACCAATACTTTCTACAACTTTCTTCTTAGGTCTAAAAACATGCTGGCTGTTACTTATAACTGTATCTACCTCCTTACTGCACTCTTATTTGCATTCTAATAAAGCATTAAGGTCCAATTCAGTAAGGAGCAGGAACCGCAGCAGTAGAGTGGGGATTAGGACTATAAACATTACATGGAGAATCTACAGTTCACACTGCAGTGCCTCAAACTTGAAAGCTATGTGAACCTGAGCAAAACACTTCTCTAACCCTTATAAAACAAAGACAAGAAAGTGTCTCTCTTGAGTTAATAAATCAGATTCAGGGACAGTAGCACAACCTGTGGCCACAGCTACAGAGAAGGCCGAAGCATAATTACCCTGGCCCACGTTTTCAAGGCCAGCCTGAGTAACCGCGAATCACAATCCAGCTCAAGAGTGAGTGAGTGAGTGAGTGAGTGAACGAATGAATGCAATTTCTTTGTGTAAGTGTTCAATATAATACATAGAGACATCCCAAACATTGTGGCCTATTATAATTAATTTATCTAGTCTAAGGTTATTTTTTCATTGAGAAAAAAAAAAATTAACCAGTACTAGAAGTGCTGGCACTGAGAAGACTGACTTACGTTAAGAGACCATTTCGTTTAATTTGCTGTAGTCTAAGAGGTAAGACCTGTGTGTATCCCAAACGGAATTCTTACAAATGGGAATGAGACATTCCTAAATGTGTCTACTTTATCACTATGCAATAAAATGTAAAACAATCCTATCCTTCACCACGCTAGAATTCAATTTTTATACATATCCATAAATACCACTTGTAAAAACTTTCATTACTATCCCCTGGGTTCAGAACATCTTGGGTACTTCAACCTGAACTTTGTTCATTATTATCAACTTACAGTAACACCACTGTGGTTTTACACATGGATAAGCAGTTTATGGAAATTCCAGTTTTTAGAACATTTTATTGTTCCAATTATGTATTTAATGAGCTTCAAAGATGAATTTTAAATAAACATCTTCCTGGAATATAACAGAAAGCTTGTAGGCTAATATTAAACAATTTATTCACTCAAGCAGCATGAGTTGTTGAAGCTCTCTTTACTATGTATAAAAATGAAAGTTTTAGTCACTGCCTTTAAGTAACTAAGGCCCAACAAAAACATATTAATCAAATTATTAAGAGTCCCCCAAATCTCTACAGGGACATGTGTCAACAGGGAACTTGGTTAAGCTGCAGTTAAGTTATCACAGAGAGTCAAATGCCTAAGCTGACTCTTTGAAGAAACACAGGAGATAGAGAAGAATGAAAGAAAAATAGAATAAGCTAGCTGTGTGCTATGCTTATTATGTTGAGAAGAGAGAAATGTTAGGGATTGAGATGCAAAGGCAGAAAGTAAATGAGAGGTACAGAAAGCCTAAGCCTCAAGCAAAGCAAAGGGTTCTTAGCCTTGAGACCATATGGCATAGTACAGTTTACATGAGAAAAAAAAAAGCATACCAGAGATGTGATAGAAGGTTATCAAATACTGTAAAGATAAGGCACAAATGTCTGATTATACAAAAGAAAAGAAGAAAATCAAAGGCAAATACAGAAGTTCTAGATCTTATCTTGGTTCTGATCCCAAAGAGTTACAGACTTTCATACAGTGGAATGTGAAGCGTCAGGGAGGAAGCCTTGTGAACATTACAGTGGTGCTGCTTGACCAACTGGAAATGATGGCAAAGAATAAACAACGCATCCTGGGAGCAATCTGAAAACAGCACTGCTTTCACCCAATTGGAACCCGGAAGAGTAACCAGGATGAAGTTCATACGCCAGTCAGGGAGCTTGTCTGGGCCATTCCGATTGTCTAGCCTCCACCTTCCCATTTCACTTCTTTAAACCCAGTCATCTTTGTTTCTCATGAAGCCCTAACCCTGCAAAAGATCGAATTATTGTATTGTAAAATAACTTTAATCAGAAGCCCCTTATTTATACTGGCGAAATAAAATAAAAAATACCAAGCCTCTTCTCTTCTTCCAGTATTTTTTATGCATATCTAAATATGATTAGAACATTAAAATGTGACACTAAAATGAAACCAACAATTTAGTACTTCTTTTTAATTAACCTATAATTTAAGAGACAGTATGAGTACTACCTTAAGGAGAAAAAAAATATCTTTCTTACCTGATGCCCCTATATTTGCCTTATCTTCAGGAACCAGAGCTTTATCCTTACTTAAATCTTCAACTAGAAGCTTGTCAAAATGCTCAATACAAAGTCTGCTGTCGATCTGATATAGCAGGGCAGGGCAAAGGTACGTAAACAGATCAGGTGAGATGGGAGAGCTGGCACCAAGACCGAAGTGTTTTAACAGCTGAGTGACGTTCAGGCACTTCAAGAAAACGGGCAAAACAAAATAAAAGTTGGATAGGAACAGGTTTTTAAGATTATACACAAAATAAGCTATTGTACAATTAAAACATTTTAAGTATCAATGGAAAATGATTGCAATATAACTATATAAGAATCATCTTTTCTATAAGAATTTGTGTAAAAATTTAAACATTTTACTAGAATGTTTAATACGGAAACATTCTACTAGATTACTCAAGACTTTTTGGAGATTCTGGCCATTTTTCTATTCCCAACACACAAAAGATAACATAACCATTTTCCCAAGATTTGTACAGGATCAGAAGGGCTCTTTCCTACCAAACTGCAGTAGCAGCAACTCAAAATCCATTAGCACAGATATTTTTTTCCTGCCAAACACATTCTAGAAAATGTTACATTGAATGCATTCGATATAGGGTGCATTTTAGCTCATTTAGTTTGATCATCATAACATCAAAATAGTAACAACAATCCATTAAACATATACACAAAGAACACTCACAAAAACACAACACAGTAAATTCTAGTCCAATTTGAGCTGAGGGAAACAAAAATGGTAAGAAAGGGCATGAACTGGGGATGTCCCTCATAGGTAGATCTTGGGTTTAATCTAGCACACACACACAAAAGATTTACCTACTGACATTTTAACAAACAAAGCAGAAAGCAATTATACCAGTTTGGATCTATCATAAAGTAAATATTAATGTCTTTTATTAAGGTAAAGAACTGGACTCCCCTTCTTTCTTTTGAATCTACCCAGTCTGGTTGCATATTTCTTTACTGACCTGCTGTGTAAGTACTTCACTTTATCTATCAACAGCTCAATATAACCAAGAAATGCAAAACTAAAACCTACTTTTAGGTCTTAGTAACAGTGAGGTGCTACCCTACTTAATGCCCAAAATATTTTCAAAACTTACAGGTGTCCGGGCATCAAACAGCATCAACTCTGACAATGTAGACCTCATGGCTCTGATACACACAGTAAGTATGAGAATATAACATGGTATCATCTAGAGAAGGCACTGCAATCTTATTCATATTAATAGAAGTACAACTTAAAATCTCATTAAGATTTTAATACATTTTATTGTTAAAACTGGAAACAAGTATCTGATGATTTAGGCGGGGATCAAAGTACAATGAGTTTACTCAGATACTCAAGGTAGTGACATAATCAGGAACGTCCATTTTCCACAATGGATGCTGCTGCTTACTAGTCATATAAACATATAAATTCAACAAACTTTTCTAAATTTTAATGAGATCATTAGAAAGAATAAAAATGGTATTGGTATACATATAACAAAAAGAATACACACTTAAAAAAAAAAAAACTGAGGACACAATTAAAGGTAAAAGCGTCCAAAAGCATGAAGATGCAGGAAAAAACAAGATTACCCCGGCAGTACTGGGACTCCCTAGCATTATACATGTTTGCATTCACCCAGCTGTGAGGGCCTGAGTGAAGACTGCTATCACAATAGGCCTTATCATAAAGCCATACAGAAAAGAAACTCAATACATACACAGGAACTCAGAAGCTAATACAATGACTGGGAACCATTAACTTATTTCCGTATATTAATAATTATGCAAGATAAACTAGTACTTCAGAAAAGGTCAGGTTTAAGAAGACCAAACCTGTTTTAGTATTTTCTAATATTTAGAAACCAGCTATAGTAGTAACAGTAAAAACTGTTACTAGAGTATCAGAATTCACAAAACAAAACAAAACACAGTAAAATAAAGAATATATTTTCAAACAACACTTAAATATTCATACTAGGCTTGAGGACTCAAATTTGAGAATAAATAAAACCCTCGTTAAAACTTCCCGATCTTGATTTTGATTCCTTCATCCTGTTACCTGGCGTGTTCCACAAGTTCCAACAAGAACACAGGTGGCTGAGCTATGATGTGACTACTCGGGGCTAACCTCATCCTTAAGCCTCTCCACAGCTACTTAACAACTACTGAGTAACCGCCAGACACCACTGCATCCAGCACGTTATACCTACTTCATGTTGCCGGTCGTCTTCGTTATGGTCTTTGTGGGCAGGAGTGGAATAAATTGCACTTTTTTTAACATGTGGAGCTTCTCGCTTTCTAGTGTGTCGAAGTTCACCTTCATTATCGGGGTCAAGATCTTGGTGTCCATGGCCAAGATCATGACCGCTATGCTCAGGAAGATGTGCATGAGGGTGGCCTGGGCTATGTACACGGTCAAGTTTGTGAACCCGATTATGCTCATATTGTTCACCATGGTCATGGTTGGGGAGGAAACCTGGTGTGTTAACCTCCGAGTTTTCTTTTTTTCTCTTCCCCTTTTCCTTCCTCCTGACCTTCAATGACTTAACTTCTGATTGCTCCTGTGTTTTATTGCTCTCTGTTGAAGGTCCGTGACCAGGCTCCCCATGCTCACTGTGAGTGACGGAATCATTATGAACACGACGAGTCGTGTTATGATCCAGGCGGTGATGCAAACGATGGCGATGATGGAGGCGGTGAGTGTGCTCACGTGGGTGTTTATCATCGGATTTGATGGGTACTTCAGCTGCCTCTTTCTCTGGATCACATTTGTGGTTTCTTTTTGGTGGAACACTGGTCACAGTATGGTTTTCTGAGTTTAAATGATTGTGAAAATGCTGGTGGTTATGCGAATGAAAATGCTTTCCCTCTTGAACTGCCAGAATGTCTAAGTGAGAAACATGATCATGGCCAAGGTCCTCATGATTAATCTCAACGACTTTGATCTCTCCAAGGCCCAAGTTTGTTAAAAGTTTCTCCAGACCGAAAAATGATAATCTTCCATTTTCACCATAACGGTCAAAAAGTTTTTCAATATAGTACTTTTTTTCATTTTCAGCATCCTGCACTGAAAATTTGCTTGACTCAGATTCCGTCATCCCACGATGGTGTCTGTGGAGCTCCTCTGGGCCATGGTCATGGTCCTCATGGCAGTGGTTGCATTGATGGAAAATGAATGTCAGCAAACAAATGAGGCAAAATTTTGTGTGCATATGCACCTTCATTTCTATTTTTCCTAAAGGGATTTAAAAAAACAGATGATTACTTTATGCCTACATACATTCAAGATAACAAAAATTATTTTGCATTTACCAATCCATCAAACAAGTATTTTATCCCATTTTCTTCATGACTATAGTCATTCTTGATTCAATACCCTCTATGAACAATAGCCCTTTATTTAATTGTATTAGTGTGTAGCCCTTTTAATTTCTCAAGGCACAGGACTATTTAGACTACTTTTAAAACACCAAAGATCCCATATGTATTTTTATTTTATTTTTTGCTATTTGTTTTATAGTTATTTTGTTATTGTTTTATTGTTATTTGGTCCTTTAAAAAAGTTTGCTCATTCTTGCAAACTGAGATCAGGACAGCAATATAGGAAGAAATAATATGATAACTGAAATGGGGGCAAAGATGGTTCAACTGTCGGAGCATATATATATATATATTTCCCAGCTGCCACATCAGGCGGCTTGCAACCAGATGTAACTTCAGCTCCAGAGGAATCTAATGTCTTCTTCTGGCCTGTACAGGTAACTAAACTCACATATACATATACACACAGAGACATACTCACAAAATAAATATTTTTTAAATGACTAAAATTGCTTTAAAAATCAGGAAAAATTCTCATTACTCACAAATGCTTAGAATTGGATACAATAAAAATCCAAGAGGAAGTTAATTTTCTACAGTTGCTTGATGTAAGAATAATAACTTAAAATCAAATATCTTTCTATATACCAGAAGAACTAGAGCATGAAACTAGTAACTAACACCATTATTTTTTTTAAGATTATTTATTTATTATACATACAATGTGTGTTTGTATGTATACATGCATGCCAGAAGAGGGCACCAGATTTCATTCTAGATGGTTGTGAGCCACCATGTGGTTGCTGGGAATTGAACTCATGACCTCTGGAAGAGCAGCCAGTGCTCTTAACCTCTGAAGCCATCTCTCCAGCCCCCTAACACTATTATTAATAGCAAGCAAATATCTAGGAATAAATCTAACAAAAGATGTATAGGGCCCATAGAAAAGGGTCACATATAATTGAACAAAATGAAGATCTATGTAACTAGATGGCTATTTTATGTTTATGAATGGATGAACTATGGATCCAACACAATCTCAGTCAAAATCCTGGAAGTTACTTTGTGAAAAGCAATGAGCTACATTTAGTATTCATGTGAAAACAGGCTCAAGAATGACCATGAGGGGGGACACAGACTGGAACATGTATGTGTTCTATTAGTTCTTAGAGACAGCAAATTTGGTGCAAAAACAGACCAAAGGAGGATCACCTAGATGGCTCAGTGGAAAAAGGGCTGCCAAGCCCAATAACGTAAGTTAGACCTCCCGAATCCATACTCTTGCAAGCTTGTCTTCTGACCTCCAGAGGCAAGTCATGGCATTTGTACACATGCACACGTGTGTACTCAGAAGGAAGGGGGTTTCATAGGGAGAGAGAGGAAAAGACAGAAAGACAGTGATTAAAAATATAAAAATGAGGCTGGAGAGATGGCTCAGAGATTAAGAACACTTGCTTTCTTCCAAAGGTCCTGAGTTCAATTCCCAGCAACCACATGGTGGCTCACAACCATCTATAGTAAGATCTGGTGCACAGACAGAATGTTACATAAATAATAAATAAAATATTTAAATATATATATATATATATATGAAGGAAAGGGAACATGCCAAACAAAAAAAAAAGTGTTCTCTTTGGTACCTCATTGGCTCAATTTGCACACAGAAGAAACACCCTGGTTGATCCCTATTTAACACCACAAACAGAATCAACTACAGATTAAAAAAAAAAGAGGCTAAATTTCACACATTAAATGCTAACACAGGAAAGTGTCCAAAAATGTTAGTCAGTACAGTAGCTACTAGCAGAATATGGGTACTCGACTTTAACGGAACTGAATTTGAATTTAAGATTCAGTTTCTCAGAGATCATAGCCACATTTAAAAGGCTGTACCTCCACATGCAGCTAGGGGTCACACTCTTGGGCCCAGAACACAGTCATCACCATAGTAGGTTCTACTGAAAAGGACACTTCTAGAGCCTAGAAATATGTGAGCCAGTTTTGTTACTTTGAACTTTTCTAGAGTAAAAATGTGAAACTAATTTCCTATTACATTCTAGCTACCTCACATCTGAAATTTATTAAGTAGGTATTTTACATTCTGTTTAACACTATGTATTGGAACTGATGCTTGTATTTTAAATCAGTATGACAGATAGCACATATTAATTCAGGCTAACCATATTTCAAAAGCCCAATTGTCACATGTGACTACTGACCACTGTTACTACAAAGTGTAGATCTACAAAAGTAACTTGAGAAACTAAGAACTTCAAGATAGGAGACAGAAGGCACTGAAAAGAGGAAAACTAGTACCATTTACTTCATTAAAATTAAAAATCTACTCAAAAAGCTTCTCTGAAAAAAAAAAAGGAATCAAGTTATAGGTATAGGTATAGAGGTAGGGATGGTTCTGAGAGGAACTAGGGAAAGCAGTGAATTGATCAAAATGCACTGTATAAGATTTTCAAAGAGTTAATAAAACAAAACAAAACAAAAAAACCAAGTCATGCACTGGGAGATGATTACCATGTGCAGCTGGGAAGCAGGAAGATATAGATCATTTACAGGTGATTTAAAACACACCAAAAAGCATGCTGGTTGTTGGTAGTGCACGGCTTTTATTCCAAGCACTCGGGAGTCAGAGGCAGGCAGATCTCTGTGATGTTTGGCCAGCCTGGTCTACAGAGCAGAACAGCCAGGGCTTCACAGAGGTTCCTGTCCTATGGGGGAAAAATGCCTAAAACACACAACAACAAACAAAGCCTTTCCTTTAACACATGGAGTTTTGGAGCTGGACGAAGAGGGTGAGGCCCACGGTGGAACACTTCTCCCAGGACCGGAAGAGGAGAAGCAGCTGTGATGGAAGAAGCACTCACACTCAGCTGTCTCGCAGTGCTTCATTCCATTCGCGTAGAGATGAGAGAAGGTCATCTGACATACATGGGGCTAAGAAGTTCAAAATCTAAATTTGTATTTGATTCCAAAGCTACACTGAGATTTGCCTTTTAATCCAAACATTTCAGTTTCTTACAGTCTCATTGACAGTCACCATTGAAAAATATTAAATTTAGTGATATGACTAGAAGCAACAGAACATCAAAGCGCTAGAAACCACCAGAAGGGAGGAAAAGGCAATTAAAGATTCTCCCTTAAATTTTTCAGAGAGCTTGTGTCTGCTGACATCTGAGTTTCAGACTTGCTTAGCCTCCAGGATGTAGAACAGTAAACCACTGTTGGCTAAACCATGAATTTGAGCAAGATCAGGATGGCAACTACTCTGGGTATCCTACCACATCTAAGCAATAATAACCAATCACGGATTAAAGAAAATGCCATGCGTTTCAGAATTAAAGTAAAATATGATCCCATGAAAAGGAGGAAACATGCCCTGGAGCAAGATGCTGCTGTTTCTCAAACACAGCAGGATGAGCAGCAGAGCTGTGCTGTGGTAGGGGTATGCCAATGGAAGTGGCAGGCTCCCTGGCCTGTGTGTCCTCCTTGCCAGCATAAAGGCAAAAATGTATGTTTCACATACTTGTTCCTTACCTAGACATTTTAATGCTCAAATGATAAAGAATTTTGAGGAAGTAGTAACCTGCGGAGGCCAATGAGAACACTAATCACTTTATTAATAAGGGCTTTGTCTTTATTTTACAAGAAGTAAAATGTTCAAGAGAAAAATTCAGAGATTAATGTTTCGCCTGGATAAAATCATACTAATTTTACTTGTACACTAATGAAAATCAAAGGCCACAGATGATTTTAGCCTGTCATTATTAATGGAAGAAGATCCCATTCCTCTCTGTAACACGCGGTGCAGGTACCTCACACTTCCACTGAGACACTAGTCTAAGGAAATGGTCTAAGGAAATGTCACAAGGTTTCTTCAATGCACATTTTCCAGCTGTTCAGTGACTAGGAGCCAGTGGTAGTAAATGCAGATAAGAAAATATCAAATGAAACCCAAAACCTATGCATAGTATACATGAGATTCATGTTGACATTTATCACTAGTCTTTACATTCGTGTAAAGAACTCAATGGATTGCAAAGATTCTAATCTCGAGTCTCTTACTACATTCAAGTGAAAACAATAGGTATGTAAGACCCTAAGTGATGCAGGAATAATCTTAAACTTGGCAGCTTTTTAAAATTAAATTATAAATTTTGCAATTTCAGTACTACCTTAGCACACATGTTTGGAGCATTTGTTTGAGCAGGCTCAGCAGCTCTGCAAAGACCCATTCCCAAATGGATTCAGCAGGTTCTTTTCTGTCTCAGTCTAAGTCTATTTCAGGTATAAGGGCCTCTCTGCTCTGGTAAGTCAGAAAGATATCCGCCTTCCATGGATTAATGCTAGCTCAGACAAGGAAAGAAACAGAAAGGAAACAGAGGTTCAGTAATGTCACCAGCAGGGGAAGCAGACACTGCACCCATCAACTTTCCCTCCTTTCAACCTGCAAACAGCTACAGGCCTCAATTAACATGGAAGCTGCAAAGTGCAGGCATGCCAAAATTTATGGAGCTTCCTAAGCATTCCATGGAATTAAGAGTATCTGTGGGGTAGGCAAAGGAATGTAGGAAATGTCAGACAAGCTCATGTATTATTCCACCTTAAATACTGGCATTCAGAGGACTTGGCCATACTTTAAACAAAATATCCCATTATATCTGTTTTTGAGTTCTTTTGGTTTTATATGTAGAGAGCATTAGTTTTATAAGTGAGGATAGTTTTTAGCTGCAAGACTGTAAGATTTCTGCTATCCCCTGAAGACACATATAATCTTACTGCACAGAAATGGGAAGAGGATGCTCAGAACACTGGCTGTTCTTCCAAAGGTCCTGAGTTCAATTCTCAACAACTACCTAGTAGCTCACAACCATCTAGGGTTGAGATCTGGTGCCCTCTTCT